CCAATCTCAGACTTAGAGACCCTAACTCTCCGGCTCCCAATCCAGCTCCTGTTGGTTATGTTGCTCCTCTCAGGCCTAGCCCAAACATTGTTCAGCCTCCTTATCCAGCTGGGGACTACACCATCATCAATGTGAAGAAGGAGGTAAGTTGTGATTATATGAAACAATCACCAGCTTGGACTAACTTATTAACAGTCTTTGTTTAGTTAAGGTGGAGCCAGGGAGTCAATGGTGAAACTTTTAAAGAATCAAATAATTTCTTTCAATTATTAAAAAGTTTCCACCATTGACTCCCCAACCTCCAACGACGAGACAGTCTTTGTGTATGGCATTAAAGATTGATCACTTCTCCAACTATCTGAATCGGGACATATCTTTATCTTCCTCATGGTACCATTCCAATACCTCTTGCATGTAAAACGAATGCATGCACCATCCAACAGATCCAACTCATTCACTATTTGTATAATAATCAAGATAGATAACCTCTCCATGTTTGATTGTTTGATTGGTTGTTTGGTTCATTAATAGAATGTTCAGTTTATTGGGAGCGGGGAGTGATCATCACTTCTCCTTTTTTGGAACTTCATCATTTATTTGATTGACTGAGCCATGTTGATAATCTTGATTTCTCGATGGACGATGGCGGCACCTCCATATGGATAGGCAACATACTTGGTTAACTCCAAATGGCAGAAGACTACCTGTTGATCAATGCGTCTACATGTTATAAATGCTTTGTTGTTTTGTACTTTGTAATGATCAATTTCAAATTTGTACACTTGAGACGAGGGGAAGAATGACAGCACCGACTTGATCATCATGACCGGCTGCCTTAGCAATGATACGTATGAGCACCAGACCAAGTCCAAAGGGGCAGTGATTTGACACATTGTTGTAATTGTGATTTTAGGGAGGTCGAAGATGGTCCGATTTGTCCTACTCTGTCTCTTTGCGTTCTTGACAGGTGGATTGATTGCCAGTATGATCTTGTCAATAAAGGACTCACCAATGGCAAGACGTTTGAGTGTGTTCATTGTTCGCGGCAATGTTTGATTGTAATATTTGCCCACCTTCAGCTTGGTCAATGATTGAGGGAGTATTCGCGCTGTCAGTGTCTGATCAAAGCTATTGCCAAACGTGAGGGTTGTGAGCCCGTTGGGGAGGCAAAGTTGTTGATTAAAGCTTATCCCAAGATGCAGCTCGATCAAGCTGTCTGGCAGCATTCTCGATGTGAGTGGCTCGTTGAAGGTACCGCCCAAGGTCAGATGCGTCAATGTTTGTGGAAGCAAGCCAGCTGTTAAAACAATGTATGTATGGTCCAAACGAAGTGTCTTTACACTTTGAGGACACCACATGATGGGCAGGTCTTCCATTCTGAATGTGTGACCATTCAATTTCAAGCTAGTCAGACTAGTGAATGAACTTAGTGTCCTTTTCTCTGAGTAGGCCTCAAGTCCCAACGATCTGATAGTTGTCTTTGGGAACACTTTGTCTTGGAGCATCTTGTTCATGAATTTGATGGAAAGACGCATTGAGGTGAGTGATTGCGGCAGTGCACTATCATGTATCTTTGAGTTGAAAGAATCATGAGGTATGCTAATATGAGTAATGGAGTTTGGCAGCGTGCCGGGCAGTATGTCATGACTGTATAAGAATGAGTGAATGCCAAGGTGTGTTAGAGAGGAGGGCAGGCAACCAGCTTCAAAAGGTTGGTTGTATTCTAGTCCAAAGAGAATCTTGGTGAGCGATGGAGGGAGACTACCGGGCACTATTGGTTGATTGTGCGAGTGTTTGAATGTGATCTCGGTGAGCGAGGCTGACAACCATCCCACGGGTATCGTCTTGTTGAACCAATCACCAAACTCTATTGATGTAATTGAGTTGGACATTGGGATGTTCATGTCGTAGATCGTTGGGCCATGCAGTGCTTGATAAAGTGGAACTTGGCGCTTGACATTGGCGTGGCAGGGTATTGTCCCACCTCCCACCATGATACAGACTGAGTGAGTGGCATTATAGTCTGATCACTAATCTTCAATCTATTCCATGATTCTAATTTATGTGAAGTCTGCATCTGTATCTTCTTCAATGTTATACTCCATAACCTCTTACATGTACAACGTAAGCATGCATTATCCAAGTGATCCAACTCATTCACTATCTGTATTATAATCAGTGTTGACAATCTTTCCATGTTTGATTGATTGATTGATAGTATGATTGAGTGAATTCTGTGATTGATCACACTCAAAATCTTCATTTATTGATGAGTGAGAATGAACTGGTCCAATAATTAATAATTGGATAATTATTAATTAATTGAATTGATCAATTTTTGGAATATTGATGAAGGATAACGGAGTGTTTAGAGGAAGAGCATAACAACCGCAATGGCCAGGAACAATAAGGAACTGAGGAGGGTGAGGTGGACATTGTTGGATTGTGCAGCGCCAGAAGTGCATGGGTCGTACAACTTCTTGGTCTTGAATGGATCTGGATATCCACACTTGCCTCCAGAGCAACTTTCAGGGACGTAGTAACTAACATGAGGACATTTGTTTTGGAGTTGGCATTTGTAAAAGTCGTAGGTTCTCTGGTACATGATATTTGGGTCGTAGACTTGGCGACACTTTCCTTGTTGAGTAAGAACAGAGCTTCCATCACACATGCAGGTTGAAGGACTTGGACAGAAATTTGTACTTAAGTTACAATCTTTGTTGATGAGACTATTGAGGTTCTGGCAGAATCTATTGAAACAGACAAGGTTCTGTTTGTAATCACAGTCGGTCATTCCCATACAGTAATTACCTGCCACTAAGGAGAAGAATGGCACACAGATCTTATTCCTACAGTGGCTCAGGAGGCTGCAATCTCCTTCATCCTTGCAAGCTGTTCCGTCGGGTGGGGGCACGCCACACTCTAGAGAGCTGTTGCATCGTTCGTTATACTTGCACTGGGAGTCACCACTACACCAGGGGTACTGGTGTGTACTAGAGCAAACTCCTTTAGTGCAGGTTAAACTAAATGAGCATTGAATGTCGTCTGTGCAATTCTCACCAAGGCCAAGGTAGTACTGTGGGACACAGATCCTAGGTGTGGAGTGGTCACATATGTATTGTCCAGAGCATTGTTTTGTAATTGAGCAATCCTCTCCTTTACCTGGCATAGCAACACATCTTGACTGGTTTGTGCCATCCTCAATCATTGTACAGAATCCATTGTCACGACACCTGGTAGTATCTTCATTACAGACTTCATTCAAATTCTTGCATGAATGACATTCTCCATTAGCATAGGTTATCACAAATAGGACTAATATTAATATTGACAAATTTAAGTTATTCATTGTTGATATTGTAATAATAATAATAAAAAAAATAATAATTGATTGATTGATTGAATGAGTGATGTCTTCATTAAATCCATCAATGTATCCGCGACGATCCCTCATTTCATTTTGATTTCTCATCCAACTAGTTGACTTGGAGTTTGGAGTTGATCAAACTACATCTCACCCAGTTTGATTAGCAGGTCTCGCAGCCCATCAACAACTTTGGGTCCATTGATTTTTGACCATCAAATCAACCAATCAAATGTGTTTTGACTGGTTTAAAGTTGATATTCTTGAGTTCTCGATGGACTTTTGACGCAATACCAATTTGATTGTGTTCTTGGATATTTCCAACAAACAGAGGACTGTGTGTCGATCAATGCGTCTGACCTGATCACTCGGAGCGGTTTCCTCAATAACGTTACATATGAACACCAGATCAACTCCAATGGCTGCTTGAATTGAGGAGTTGTGTTTGACTTCATCCCCAGATCCTCAATGATCTTGTCGATAAACGCCTCACCAATGGCAAGACATTTGAGCGATTTCATGGAGCCTGGCAATAATTGTCTGAAACTATTGCCCAGCTTCAACTTGGTCAATTGTGGGAGTAGCCGGGAGGTCAATGGCTGATCAAATTTATCGCTAATCGTGAGGATGGTCAGCGAGTTGGGGAGGCCAAGGATTGGATGATCAAAGCTGTTGCCAATGTGGAGTTCGATGAGGCTGTCTGGTAGCAAGCCGGAAGTAAGTGGCTGGTTGAAGTAATCGCCCAAGGTTAGATGTGTCAAAGTTGGTGGAAGCATTCCAGCTGTTAATCGAATGACCCTTTGTTCCAAACGCAGTGTCTTTATACTACTTTCCTGATCCCAATCTGGCATGGAATCTTTTGTGAATGCATGACCATGGAAAGTCATGCACTCCACATCTGGAAACGATTCAAGCCAGTCTAAGTTTGTGTCGCACATTACTAACTCCAACGACCTGATTGACTTTGGTATCACATTGTCTTTGATACTAACCAAGAGAATAATAGAGAGATACATTGAGGTGAGTGATTGTGGCAGCGCTCCCTCATGTATCTTTGAACGTATATAATGTAGCATACTTATATGTGTGATGGAGTCTGGTAGAGTGCCAGGCAGTATGTCATGATTGTAAAAGTTTGATTGAATGCCAAGGTATGTTAGAGAGGTGGGCAGACATCCAACTTCAATCGGTTGATTGAAATATCGTCCAAAGACAATCTTGGTGAGTGATGCAGGTAGACTACCTTGGACTATAGGTTGATTGTACTTATTACCGAATTCGATCTCTGTGAGTGAGGTCGACAACCAACCCACCGGTATCCACTTGTTGAACAAATCACCAAACTCAATGGATGTGATTGAGTTGGACATTGGTACGGTAGTGTCGTGGGTCGATGTAGCCAGTAGTAGCAAATCACCAACATCTCGGACGGAGTTCTTGAGAAAGTGGAACATGGTGTATGATATGGATCCCACCTTCCAAGAAGAGACAGTCTGAGTTGGTCGCATTATAGTCTGATCACTCATACAACTATCCCATTCATAAGACATCTGTATCATCTTCAATGTTATACTCCATAGCCTCTTACATGTACAACGAAAGCATGCACTATCCATGTTATCCAACTCATTCACTATCTGTAATATGATTAATGTTGATAATCTATCCATGTTTGATTGATTGCGAGTATTATATTATGATTTATGTACACTGGATTGATTGATTGGTTGAATGAATGAATGATTGATTGACTTGTGTTCAAGACCAAAGTTTTGAAACTTGAAATCTCATGAGCTTGCATGGACTACACTCAGCCATGTCCAGATGTCCCTGTCATTCATTCAGACTTTGTATTAGGTCTTGTATGTTGTTCTTTGTATCATTGTCAAGATGAAGACGATCTATCATACTCGACAAGTCCTTCATCAATGGTTTGGCGTTGGTCGTTGATCTTGCAATCTTGTTTATGCTACACTCCCCATTCGAAGAAGTAGGGAACAGATACTTGATATCATTGCTCGGTACCACAGGTAGGTATTGTCTGCCATTGGGCAGTGAGATGGATATGTGTTGTCCATCGTCTACCCATCCATCGCACTTGTAGACACCGGCATTCTTGCCTGTCGTCACTCTGACAAAGGGTGGAATTAAACTGTCTGCAACATCTTTAAGTTGATAAGAATTGCGTTGTTGATATTTATCAATGCCCAAGTATGACTCTAATGCTTGGTTCTGTTCTCTTAGACTCTCGACCTCCTCCTTTAACTTTTGAAACTCTATACCATGTTTAACAACTTTTAGACTCTGATGTTGTTGATGTTGTTGCTGACGTTGTTGTCTTGCCTTTGTAGGCTTATTATGTTCTCTCCTTTTCCTAACCTTTTGATTGAACCTTATTTTGTCCTCATCATATATATAATCAACATCATCTACTTCATCCATGTCTACAACTAAAGAATGATGTAGATAGAAAGAAATGAATGTTCATTCATTCGTTCGTGAAGTCAAGGTTTGAGGGTAAGGCAAGGGTTAGGGTTAGAGCAAGGGTTAGGGTGAGGGTTGAATCAAGTGTTCAAAATAGAGATAATAAAGATTTATTATGGAGACAAGTAATAATAACAACAATAGTAACAAAACTGATGATAATAAGAGATGCCCTCAACATAACAAGAAACAGAGAATAATTTGTTATGACTGCAACGAAATAGTTTGTCAAGTGTGCATGGCGACTAAACATAACAAGCATGACATCGACCATGTATTCAACCTGAATGCTCAATTCACCAGTAATAAGAAGATAAAGAGGTTTGATACTCGACTTGATTCACTCTGGGAAACACTGCAGCAATTGGCATGGTCGTATGACACTATTCAGATCACACATATACGTGTTGTCAATCAGTTTAGAGATCTACATGAATACCTCATGATGAGGGAGCAGGAGCTCAAGAGGGCACTCAATGATGAGTTGGAGAAGACTACAACATCGATCAACAACATCATCGATGAGATTGCCAATATCAACGCCAACTCGTACCGCACCAAACCAAAGGGAGATGATGGAGATGATGATGGCTTTGACATTGAGAGCATGAACAAGTTGGTGCAATCGATACAATCGTCAAAGTCAATGGATCAGTTCTTTGACAAGGAGTTCATAGCCTCTGATGACGTAAAATGGTGCGATGATCAATTGATGGACTTTGTTAGAAGAGGTTCACAGGCCATTAAGACCGTGCACCCTGTTACCAGACCGATACAATACGAGTTTGATACCTTCTTTATGCAGATGAAAATCATTGACCTCTTGGATGATTATGTCTTCGTTAAGGAGCCAACCAGAATTGAACATGGCTTCAGGAATCACATCTTCTCGCTCTCCAAAGACTCTTGCTCGATGCTAGCACTGGACACTGGTGTGTGGACTGTGATCAACGATAAGTGCACACCAAGAGGTGACATATCCACATCGGTTGTATACGCACGAGGCAATGTCTATGTGTTTGGCGGTGAAGGATCACCCAACACCTATTCTCGATTCTCACTCATCGAACAGAAGTGGCACAATGACCTGGAGATAATCGGTATCGATGGTGGTACCGGCATATCTGCATGCTATGATGGAAAGCAACACATCTATTTGGTCGGTGGACTCCACAATGGCAACCTATTGAATCGAGTCGACTGCTTCAACATTGACACTCAACAATTCTCCTCAGTTGGACGGATGTATGTGGCAACCAGAGGGTCTTACTCGCTTTTCAGATCCAAATCAGACGAGATGTTTGTCGTTGGTGGCTATGTTGATGTTGACAGTAAGTGCTTGCACACTTATACCCTGTCATTCGATACGATCACCAAGATTTATAATAGAAGCATCATCAGTGCTTTAAGAAAGGATCAAAAGATCCAGGCTTGTTATGATGGCATGGAAAATGTATTCATTGTTGGCGACCAGTGCCTCTTGGTCAATATTAAGCAATTAGCGGAAAGGCGATTAGAAGGGTATGATATGGTCCCTGATGATCCTCACTGGTCATGTCTATACACTCAATCACATGGATTAGTGACGATTGGTGGAAGTGGACACAACTCTAGATACTCTTTGTTAAAAGACAAATGGATACCACTCGAAGACTATGACCCAGTGGAGTCCAGGCAATCATTTGGAACATGTCACATATATCATTGATATATTGATTTACCTAATACATCACTTCAATCATGTCAACCCAACATTCGAATGGTGAGGGTTGAGGGCGAGGGCGAGGGTTGAGGGCGAGGGTTGGGGGGCGAGGGTTGAACAAGTTAAGTTCAAAATAACTTAGTGAGAGAATGAATGATTAGTTGTAGAGATAATTAAACATGGAGACAAGTGAAACAGAGAATAATTTGTTATGACTGCAATGAAGTAGTTTGTGCATGGCAACTCATCACAACAAGCATGACATCGACCATGTATACAACCTAAATGCTCAATTCACCAGTAATAAGAGGATAGACAGGTTTGATACTCGTCTCGACACACTCTGGGACACTTTACAGGAACTGGGATGGTCATATGAGACCATACAGATCTCACAAAGACATGTGTCTAATCAATTCAGAGAGATACATGAATACCTCATGGTGAGGGAGCAGGAGCTCATGAAATCACTCAATGATGAGTTGGAGAAGACTACAACATCAATCAACAACATCATCAATGAGATTTCCATCATCAACGCCAACTCGTACCGACACAAACCAAAGGACCATGATGATGAAGGCGTTGTTGACATTGAGAGTATGAACAAGATAGTTCAATCAATCCAATCATCAAAGTCAATGGATCAGTTCGTGGACAAGGAGTTCAAGTCTTCCGATGAGGTGAAGTGGTGCGATGATCAATTGATGGACTTTGTTCGAAGAGGTTCACAGGCCACTCAGACCGTGCACCCTGTTACCATACCAATTCGAAAGGAGTTTGAAGCCTTCAACATTGAGACAGGTATCACGAAGCTCTTTGATAGTGGCGTCTACGATGAAGAGCCAATCAGGATTGAACATGGCTTCAGGAATCACATCTTCTCACTCTCCAAAGACTCATGTTCCATGCTCGCATTGGACACTGGCGAGTGGACAGTGATCAATGACAAGTGCACACCAAGAGGTGACATATCCACATCGGTTGTATACGCACGAGGCAATGTCTATGTGTTTGGCGGTGAAGGATCACCCAACACCTATTCTCGCTTCTCACTCATCGAACAGAAGTGGTACAACGACCTGGAGATCATTGGTGTCGATGGTGGTGTCGGCATATCAGCATGCTACGATGGCGATCAACACATCTACTTGATCGGTGGACTCCACAGAAGCAGACTATTGAATCGAATTGATAAGTTCAACATTGACACTCAACAATTCTCCTCAGTTGGACGGATGAAATTTGTGACCAAAGGGTCTAAATCATTCTTCCGATTCCATTTGAACGAGCTGTATGTCGTTGGTGGCAATGTTGAAACTTACTCAACTAAGTTACTCAAAGATATCCTGTTATTCGACACGAGCACCAAGTCATGCAATATCTTCATCCCCAATCCTTTAAGCAAGGATTGGCACATCCAGGCTTGCTATGATGACATGCATCATTTATTCATCATTGGCAACAGTTCCACCCAATTTGTTAATTTAAGGTACACCAGCAATACATCACCTGGTAATTCTCACTGGTCATGTCTATACACTCAATCACATGGCTTAGTGGCGCTTGGTGGAAGAGGACACAACTCAAGATACTCAGTGTTTCAAAACAAATGGATACCATTAGAAGACAATGACCCAGTGGAATCAAGGGAATCATTTGGAACATGTCCCATATATCATTGATTTGATTGACTCATTACCTAATACATCTACTTCATTCATGTCCACACTACATTTAAAGGCGAGGGTAGGGTTAGGGTTGGGGTTGGGGTTGAAACTTGTAATTACAACTAATTCTCTCACTAAGTCATTTTGTAACTTCACTTAAGAGATAATTAAAAATGGAGACAAGTGATAATAACAACAATAATAATAATAACAAAAAGGTTGATTATAAGAGATGCCCTTTACATAACAAGAAACAGAGAATAATTTGTTATGACTGCAATGAAGTAGTTTGTGAAGTGTGCATGGCAACTAAACATAACAAGCATGACATCGACCATGTGTACAGCTTGAACACAGAGTTCACCAGTAACAAGAAGATAAAGAGGTTTGATACTCGACTTGATACACTCTGGGACACGCTACAGGAGCTAGCATGGTCATATGAGACCATTCAGATATCCCAAAGTCGTGTGACCACACTATTCAGAAGGATAGAGGCTTACATCAAAGCTAAGGAGAAGGTGTTCATGAAGGAACTCAATGATGAGCTCGAGAAGACCACTGCATCAATCAACAACATCATCGATGAGATTGCCAATATAAATGCCTACATGGACCGCAACAAGCCAAAGGACCATAATGGAGATGATGTTGGCGTCGAACTTGCGAGCATGGACAAGTTGGTGCAATCAATTCAATCATCAAAGTCGATGGATCAATTCATTGACAAGGAGTTCATAGCCTTTGATGACGTAAAATGGGGCGATGATCAATTGATGGACTTTGTTCGAAAAGGTTCACAGGCCACTCAGACCGTGCACTCCGTCACCAGACCTATAAGAGATGAGTTTGATTCCTTTGCCATTGAGAAAGGTATCATGAAGCTCTTTAGTGATCATGCCTTCTACGATGATGATACAACCAGGATGGATCATGGCTTCAGGAATCACATCTTCTCACTCTCCAAAGACTCATGCTCGATGCTCGCATTGGACACTGGTGAATGGACTGTGATCGATGACAAGTGCACACCAAGAGAGGATATATCCACATCTGTCGTATACGCACGAGGCAACATCTATGTGTTTGGCGGTGAAGGATCACCCAACACCTATTCTCGATTCTCACTCACCGAACAGAAGTGGCATAATGACCTGGAGATCATTGGTGTCGATGGTGGCACCGGCATATCTGCGTGCTACGATGGTGAGACACACATCTACTTGATCGGTGGACTCCACAATGGTAGACTGTTGAGTCGAATTGACTGCTTCAACATTGACACTCACCAATTCTCCTCAGTTGGACGGATGCCTGTGGCGACCAAAGGGTCTTACTCATTCTTCCTATACAATTGGGACCAGCTGTTTATCATTGGCGGCTATGATGACCATATCAGAAAGAGCTTGTACAAAAATATCCTGTTGTTTGAGACTAGCACCAAGATATGTGAGAACTACAAGCAGATTGTTCAAAGGAATGAACACATACAGGCTTGCTTTGATGGCACAGATCATGTGTTCATCTTTAGCCAAGGGCCTACCCTTTTGGTCAATGTAAAGGACAATGAAAAGCCAACAATGGAGGTTGATGTATCACCAGGCAACTCTCACTGGCCATGTATTTTCACTCAATCAGATGGTTTAGTGTCACTCGGTGGAGATGGACACAACTCAAGATACTCTGTGTTTCTAGACAAATGGATATCACTCCAAGACAATGACCCAGTGAAGTCAAGGAAATCCTTTGGAACATGTCATATTTATCATTGATCGATTAAATTTATTGGTGACTTCACTGGTCGTTTGGGATTCTGATGATCTTCAATCCACAATCTTGAGTTGTGATATCTTGTTGGAGATGTCACCCAGGAAGGGAAGGGCTTTCGTAAAAAAAGGTCACGAAGATGGTTCACGCGACCAAATATCTTGGAAAACCATCCAAGAGACGACCAGTTCACTTGCTTCGTTCAAATACAACAACATGTCGGACAACAACACTGACCAGTCTCGACACATGGCACCATTGCCACTGATGCTGGTCCTCAACATTGTAACGAGAGCATTCAGGGCCACTTTCCAATGCCTTCCTGGCGACTCTGGATGCAACTGGACTCGCTGGGCATTGTCGTTGAGCATGGTGTGCTGGCGCTTTCATGCTCTCGTCCAGAGGCTCAACGACACTCTTCCGATCTACCGCTACTCCGGAAGAACCTTGCAAGAGTATCTCCAACACGTGGCCAACAACCGCTTCTCGCTCGTGCCCTCGCCGGTCTTTCGCTCTTGCACATCCCGCAACGTGTCGACAACAGCGTCGATCCCACCTACGTCGCACAGGTCCATCGCTTCTTGGATGGTGTCCAGACTCTGGTATTCGATATTCTCCATGCCAGCATGGAGCTGGAGACTCTCGGACCAATCTTTGTCCGATCTCTCACAACTCTTCATCTTCACACTTCGAGCTACTACGACAGTTACATCACTGCGCGCGACTATGCTCAGTTCATTCCATTGTGTCCACGTCTCGAGCGATTTACCGTCTGGGCAGGCGCTAGGCCCGACGAACCCACCGCTGTCCTCAACGCGTTGATCGATGGCTTTCTCACGCCATATGACCGCGGCGGCGACAGCAACAACATCCACCACGATGGCCTCACTCGCAGACTGACCTCACTATCGATCAAGGAGCTCTCGATGGCCGACCTTGTCCAGGGCTGCTCGCAACTCTTTGGAGCACTGGTCAACTTTGGCAACCTCGAGACACTCAAACTGGAGATGTACGAGGCGCAAGATAACCATCTGCCATCTGGCGACCTGGATCCTTCTCAGCTCTTCACATTGTTACTCGGCTATCTTCAAGCACCGACCACCAAGATCCACAGCCTCAACCTACACGTTGGTCACTTTGGTCCGGAGAATCCGCTGCTGCCGTACCTCTTTGGTCCCTCTTGCAAGATACAGCGCCTCTCCATTCGCACATTCGTGGCCAACGTTCCGCTACTGACTCGCCGCCTGCAACAGTTGAAGTTCCGATGGACTGTGAGTGACGAAGAATCCTACGTCAACCAATTGACACCTGAGCAAATGGACGACCTCTACGATGGCAGGAGCAATGGCGATAGCCAGATTTGCCGTGGCTTGCTCGACTCAGTCTCCTTTGTCCACCGTCTAGAGCTTATGGTTTTGCGTTCTATGTTTACCAGTTGTTGCGTGCTTGCAAGTCTGGTCAAGAGCTCATCACAGCTGCCAAAACGTATCTCTGTCAGACTCGGAGCATCAGAAATGTCTCGGTGGATGAAGACACTCTCTGACGCCATCCAACAGAACACCTCCCTACGCGCACTCTACATATCAGTTGTCCAGGACCACTCCGAGCTCCCTGACCTATCTGCACTCCAGAGCATCATTGACCATCACCCGACCATATTAAACAAGGACAATTGTATCATTGTTGAATAGGCAATAGGAACTCCACTCTGTCATCATCAATGACATGTCTTATTTGTTGTTGTTGTCGTCATTTGGCATTTGATCGCGGCACCTCTTCTTGATGTCCGTCCGAATACTTGGGGACATAGACATAATGGTAGCCAGGCTCGTCGTCATTACACGTGTACCACCTCCTCCTGCAACACCGGCTTGAGTGTATATGTTAGTATTGAATAAAGACATGATGTGATATGCAAATGGAAAGAGTGTATCTTTGCAAAAGAGAAATAACTATGTTTGATAAAATTAACTAGATGAGGTTGGAGTAGCTAATCAATCAATTAATCATTAATTTCACTATCCAGGAATAATTATATTACAATTAATTTGAATATTATTTGTTTTCGAATAACTTTAAAAGCGACTCCATTAAAATTAAAGATGTTATTAATATTTATTTAGTCTTTTGCTTCTTGTTGGAGGCGGCTGCGACTGGAGCCTTCTTGGGTAAACTGGAGGTTGTTGTTTGAGTTTGCTTCTTTGTTGGTGTAGTTGGCTTGGTTGTTGGTGTTGTCTTTGTTGTTGATTGCTTGGAAGGGGTAGCTGCTGGCTTGGCGGCAGAAGATGGCTTGGCAGCAGCGGCTGGCTTGGATGATGTCTTGGGCTTGGCGGCTTGAGCCTCAGCCTGAGCCTTTGGTACGTACTTTGGTACGGTGTTGATGTTCTGATGCACACTGCTCTTGACTCTGGTGATCTCACTCTTGGGGATACCATCGACGGTCTGGCCCTTCTCCACACGATCTCTCTTGGTGATCAGCTTGTTCTTGTGTCTGTCGGCAGCCTCGTTTCTGCTCTTGATACGGTTATACAACCATCTGTCCTTCTTCCTGATCATCATCTCGGCCATCTGCAACTCCTCCTTCTCCTTGCTCTGCTTCTTCTTCAACTTGGCCTTTTGTAGACGCTCGGCCTCGTCCTCTGAGTCTTCGCTGTCTTCCACTACTTCATTATCGTCAACGTCCTCGATCTCCTCATCCTCCTCGTCCTCGTTGTCTTCGTCGTCGGCCTCAGCAGCCTTTCTCTTCTTATTCTCCTCAGTCTTGAGCTCTCTCATGTAGCGTGACTCGATCGCGGCAATGTCGTCATCGTCGTCCGATTCCTCGTCGCTGTCCTTCTCCTCCTCGTCGTCCTCGTCCTCGTCGTCTTGGGTCATGATGTCGGTGATTGTGGTTGGCACCTTGGCATCGCCAAAGCCCTTCTGGCCGATCAGCTCGTCCAGCACTGCCTTACGCGCGGGAATGTAGCTGTCCTCGTCGTACTCGACGAATGGCGAGAGATGGGGTGGGGGGATGGAGCCCTGCTTGTACTCGGTGACGTCCAGCAGGATCTTGGTGTTGACGCTGTCAAACACCCACTGTGGCTGCACGTACTCTCTGTTGTGATGGATCTTGTCGTTCTGGGCGTTACGATCGACGATCTGATGTGTGATGGTCTGGTCGCCCTCGCTAAAGGCCCCGCCTTCCCACGAGACCTCACCGCCAAACGAAGTGATGACAAACTCGAGCGCGTGCTTTGGACACTCACGCGACACAAAGAATTTGAGGCCTCTAAACAGGTTGGCCACGTCGATGATCTGGCCCACCTTGGCCGTGTCGTCCTGCTCGCCGTCATGCACCAGGTCTTCAAAGTCCTTGGAGATACCCTTGGAGGTGAGCTCGAGCTTGCCTCCAGTGGTGTCTTCCTCGTCCTCATCGTCCTCGTCGTCGGCCTCCTTGAAGGTCTTGGACAACTCGTTGATCTCCTTCTGCTTGCTCATCTCCTCCTTGGACAGCTGTGGCTGCTTCTTTGACGAGGTGGTGGTGGTCGTGGTCGTGGTGGTCGTGGAAGTCTCGGTGATCATGGCCGAGAGGTAGTCACCATTGTTGAGTCGCTGCATGTCGACGGTGGGTGGGTACTTGAGGCCGATGGAGTTGTACAGCCTATAGTTGACGAACCTCAGCATCACCTCGTAGAACTCGAGGAAACTGATCATGACACCATAGTCGACGGCCTTCTCCTTCTTGTTGATATAGTTGATGGGGGTGAGCCAAGTGACGGTCTCGCCCATGATCTCGGCCTGGTAGTAGATACCCTTGATCGAGACAAACACCTTGCGCAGACACTTGGCCTTGGTGACGTAGGTCTGGAACTCGCGACACAGTGTGGCGCACGCCAAGATGTGGTTCTCACGCACCTTGGGCGACGAGTCCATCGAGGCAAACAGATGCACGAGTGTGAGGCAGTCGTCCAGATCCTTGATGGCGTCTTGGAACGATGGGTAGCGCTCTCTGACGATGTGGTCGATCGATGTGTTTGGACGCGACTTGATGAACTGCTCCAACGCGGCAAAGTCCTTCTTCTCCTTCAATCTCTTCTCGCGCTTGGCAAATGTCTTCCTATCTCGCAACAATTGAATCAAAGGCTCATGTTGCAAGAATCTAATATCCTTTGTATAATAATAAGTCTTATTCTTGCCATGCAATCTCTTCTTTGGGTCTCTTGGATGGATACCCTTTAAGATACATAGTTTCCTGTGATGTCATGAATATGTTGTCGGTGGGGTCGAGGGTTAGGGCGAGGGCGAGGGTTAGGGTGAGGGCGAGGGCGAGGGTGAGGGTTGAGGGTTGCGAGGGTGTTCGAACTTGTCAATGTTGATGTGTCATATGAGTCCATACCTAAACAAGTTCAAAGAGACCTGTAGCTTACGAGCAGCAGCATTACGAGTGATGAAACGAATGTTCTCTCCTTTCTCATTCTTTTTAAACTTCTTAATTCCTCCCATTGTAGTAGTATATTATATGTATATAAATTATAATATATGTGTGTAAGTGTGTGTTTGTAATAAAGAGAGAGGGGATGAAGTATTATTGTCACTCGTCAACGATCAAAAGGACGAAACACAGAAGACACACTAACACACAATTGATTCATTAAAACTCTCACTCGGTCGTTGTTGTGTTGAATTTTTACAATTTAATTATAATTTAATTGATTCGTAAATTTTTACGTTCAATTTACATACATGTGTAGAAATCAATCAAACAAATATTCAATTAATAATAGATTGATGTCTAAACTGAAGTTGTCAATGATATTCAAGTATTCTTACTTTGAATAAGGATTATGTCCAACACTCAAAGGTCAGCCAGGTCTGATGATGGACACTTGAAGATCACAAAAGGGGCAATTTCAATTTGAACATGTGAGTGAAGGGTTGTTCATTCATTTCAACTTAACATGTTGACAAGACACTTTACATCATCTAATCAAATACGTACTTGTATATATACTCAATACTTTAAGAACTTTAGTAATAGAGTCAATCGTAGTTTGTTGTCATCATCATCATCAAACTATCAAACATTAGCACCCAGATATCTAATTGTACAACAACAACAACAACAACAGTATAAGCATTACTCAACAACAACAAAGATGTCAAACAAAGCAGGAGCAACTGCTGAGAATGTAAAGTTTTTAACATTGTTTGACTGATATGATTGTTTGATTGAATGATTGAACTAACATTCATGTCTTGATGATGATGATTGGGGATGTGTAGAACAAGCAGAAACCAGAGGACACAATCTTTGCCAAGATCGTTGCTGGTACCATCCCATGCAAGAAGGTCTACGAGGATGACTTTTGTCTTGCCTTTGACGACTTGAACCCAGTGGCACCAGTCCATGTCCTTGTCGTACCCAAGACACCACTAGGTGGTATCCATGGTATGTCTGTCACTCATCCTCGTCATCGTCCCCATACTCATACTAATACTAATTGATTCATTGATATATAGATGCCACCGAAGAGCATGCTGTTGCACTTGGCAAGTTGATGGTCAACATCCCAAAGATCGCCACTATCAAGGGTCTCGAAACCTATAGATTGGTTGTCAACGAAGGTGCTGATGCAGGTCAATCAGTAAGATGGTTGCACATCCATATCATTGGAGGCAGAGGAATGAACTGGCCACCAGGCTAATTCGTCCACTTTCTTTGGATATCCTTTCTCATTCATTCATTCATTCAATCAATCAATTATTATAAATGAATGTGATCATCAGTATCACTTTCCATTGCAATCAATCAAAACTACAACAACAACAACTACAACAACTCGCTGATCGTCGATCATTCATTAAGTGTTGTTGAGGCCATTCAATCAGTCAATCAATCAGTCAGCCATTAATGCAGCTGGTATCCAAACTGGAAGTGCGCCACACCCACATCACGCGATTGAAACGCTAATTTGGTGGTGTGGAGTGGGATTGTGGAGTTTGATAACCCACGACACAAGGTGAAGATGGAGATGGTGATGGATTGGGTAACACGATTGTTGTTGTTTGTTTTCATTCATTCATTCTATCATTCTATCATTCATTCAATCTTTAAGTATTACTTTATAATTGTTAGCTAAGAGATTAATCTTAACATAATGAGCGACGAGCATCAACAACAACAACAACAGAATCATAACGAACATATGAGTGAAGAACATCAACATCAACATCAACAAGCACAACAAGAGAATGAAAATGAACAAGTACATAAAGATGATGATACTTCATCACCTGTAGCTACAGAACCAATAATAGAGATAAAGGATAAAGATGAGTTGTTGACGGAGGATGGCAAAGAGAAGAGATTATGCAAACATAGAGGATCATGTCTACACAGTTGTCTTAGGATTTGGATGAGAGGATTACTCATTGGTTATGGAATGAGAGCAACACTTGCACTATTATCAGCATTGTTTGTTAGAAGATTATATAAAAAGTATGTCAACAAGTTGATAAGTTGATTGATTGATTGATTGTTTGATTGAATGAGTGAGGACTAACATTCCTGCTCTCCTGCCCTGCCTTTAGCCCAAGGAAATTGATCAATCAATCCTTATTGCACAAGGAACCTATTGGATTCGGATTGTTTGTTGCGTTCTATACTGGTGGATTCAGAGCAATCAATTGTTTCCTGAGGAATGTCAGGGGAAAGGAAGATGGCTGGAACAGTGCCATCGCCGGTTTCTTTGCCGGCTCTGCCATGATGTTCTCAAAGAGCACAGAGATGGCACTTTATCTCTTTGCCAGAGCACTAGAGAGTTTGTTCAACGCTGCTCACAAGAGAGGGTAGGTGTATATTCAGCCCGGTCCATCAACCCAATGCATTGTACTAACACAACATTGATTGATTGAATGATTGATTATAGATATGTTGGATCATGGAAGCATGGCGATTCTGCTTTGTTCTGTTTCAGCACAACGATGATGTTCTATGCTTTTGTCTGGGAGCCAAAGACTTTGCGTCCATCTTATTGGAAGTTCTTGACAAAGGTTGCTGGAAAGGGCTTGGACCTGGCAACAACTACCGCCAAGATGAGAGAGATGTACTATGTCTCAAGAGGACTACCAGTTCCAATCGATCTATAACCAACTGTCAACTACCTCGCGCTCTATTCCATTCTATTCCATTCAATTCTATTCAATTCAATGAACAGTTACACTTACACATGCTGCTGTTGCGGCTAACTCATATATTACATATAACATACACTTATGGAAGGAAGCCAGCACTTTACTGTCTTGGCTCTCGACAACCCTTTATTCGAATGTTCATATTCTTACTCATCATTGCTTGCTTGCTTCATCTAGATGCCATATTACTATTAATTAATCACCTGGCGTCGCCTTGTGCTTCTTGGTAGCAGACATTGGAAGGTTCCTTGTTGGCGAGGTGCTACTGGTGTTGGTAGTGGTGGTAGTAGTTGGCGATGTTGCATCATCCGAGACGACTATAACATCATCTTTGTTACTACTTGATCCTGATGCTGACGATGACGACATTGATTCTTTGCTCGACTGCTCCTCAATGTATTCACCAAACAACTCTAGTAGTGAATCTAGATGTGTCTCCAATGTGATCACTCTATCATTCAGATATCCAATCGATCCCTGTAGCTGTATGATGTGTTAGAGAGGCGACTCCAAGGAGTGATCGATTGACATGACGCACGTACCTTTGATACATATTGATTCTCTAGAAGTAGCGGTGGATTACTGATGGCTGGTAGTTGCTTTGTTTGATCGGGGTATGGTGCCGAGTCCTTTCCGGAGCCAAGCTGGTAGCTATTGTATGAATGAGAGTTAGGACGATGGACAAGGAAGTAGGGACAACTACGATGATACTTACAATGATATTGAATGATTGTCGATGATGAATAGGTTGGCGAGGTAGCCTTGCTCAGAGTCGCTGGCAATGGATGTGTATCGACGTCCAAGTGGATTATGACATATTGGACAAGATAGTAGTATAATGTTGTTGTTGTTGCTATTGTTGTTGTTGTTGACATGCTCATGTTCATCTATCTCCTCACCATCTGTTGTAGACTCCAAAACATTATGAGCAACCTTGGACATTAGGTAACAGTGATGCGCCAGCATGTATTGCTCCTGTTGCTCGGTTGCCTCGTCCACCAGCATGGTCGAATCGCCCACCACTGCACTGCACTCAATGCAATGGAACACCAGAATGGATTGGAAGAACTCGTCCAGGCTGGGCTTGCTGTCCACCGTCTTGCGCTTCAGCCTGTTGGTCGGGGTGGTGACGCCACTGCTACTACCGCTGCCGCTGCCCAACGACCCGCGACTGCCAATACCTCCGCGCCGTTGTATGCTGGGTGGCGGTGTGCTGGGTGCGGGACTCTTGCGAATGGGTGTGGGCATGGCAAAAGCCCTGGTGTTGCTCGGCTGCGGCTGATGTCGGTGTCCTTGGATTCTTGTAGGGTGAGGGTGATGGCGAAGACACGCCTGATCGTGGCCTCGTCGGAGAGGTCGGTGATAGTATATTGATGACATCGTCGTCCATCTTGTCCTCGTCGTCCGAGTGTTTGCTTGGCTTGTCGCGATGTAACTGTGGTTGTTGATGTTGATGTTGATACTGTTGTTGATGTTGCTGATGATGATGCATAATCTGCGACCTTGACTGCGGCGAGGATGATGGTGATGATCGTGGAGACTGCGAAGAGGCGGAGCCGCGCGGGGAGTGTGGTAGAGGCAATGGTTCTTTGAATACAGAGTTGGGCGACGACGGGATCTGGAGTGTGTGTGAGTGATGGTCGTCATTACTGCTGGGCATTGCCAGGGAACCTCCGCTGTGGCTGTGCGTCAGACCCAAGCCAAGACTCAGGCTTGGACTGCTGTGGCTATGACCATGCATCGAGTGGATATTGTGATTGTGGTTATGATTGGGTGTGTTGCCGAGCGAGACGTTGGGCAGTGTTGGCACTCTCATTGGTGACTTGTAGGGTGATGAGCGCATTGGTGACATTGACGCGGCGGAATGCTCCAGCGAGCTAATAGTGGAGGCTGTGATCGTTGGTGACAGTCGAGGGGAGAGTGGTCTGGGCGACAACTGTTCCTTGAACATTGACAACGCTGACTGTGGTCCAATATCAACAACAACCTCATTCTCATTGTTCACCAAGAACTTATGTTCTTCATGATGATGATGTAACTGTTGTTGAAGATGATGTTGATGTTGTGGAGTGTGATGAGGATGATGTGGATGATGTTGATGTTGATGATGTTGATTGTTGTTGTGTACATTATTATTGTTGTTATTATTTGTTGACAATGGTGTTTGATGCTGCTGCTGTTGCTGCTGCTGCAGTGGCATTGGCGTGTATCTCCTTCAACTCATCATCATGTCCACCAAAACTACTATTACTTCCAACACTATTTGTTGATGATGTTGAAACGTTCATAGCTATTATTAATAGCTAAGCTATCTATGAATATATATATATGTATGATTGTATTATGTGTATAAGTATCAATGAATGATTGAATGAATGAATGTGTTGGGTTGCGTTGGAGTTGAAGTGAAGTGAAGAGATCTGAAGGGTTGTTTGAAATTGAACAGCTTTGGGGGTTTTGAATAAAAAGGGCGCACTTTATCAATTTTATTATTATTATCTTCTTCTTTGTATTCATTCAACAGATAATAGATAACAGATAATAGATAATATCAATGAATGAATGAATGAATTATTGTGATGGACCTTTTAAAAGTTTGTGCGAGGTGCCCATGTATCAAGATCCTTGAGGATCTGTTCGGCTTTGGCTCGGACAAGGGCATGTGCATCAGTGCCAACGTAGATGTGCACGGGGAGATCTCCTTGGTGCTCGACAACCTCGATGAATAGGTTGGCAAGCTTGGTTGGATCTCCAATAAGAAGGGCATCGAGATTCTTGGTTGGCTCAAAGAAGGTCTTCTGGTACTGCTCGTTGTACACGCTGTCGTTGATGTTGGAGGGTACCTGTATCTTGTTGGCACTGAAGAAGTCGGTCTTGAAGCATCCTGGATTGATCGACAGGGCCTTGACGCCAAAGGGCTTCAACTCTGAGGCCAGCGCCTCGGTGGCCATGTTGAGCGCGCTCTTGGTCGAGCAGTAGCTCGAGAAGCATTGATAGGAGACCAGCGCACCCATCGACGACACGTTGATGATGTAGCCACTCTTTTGTGCGCGCATCAATGGTGCCACCAGACGGATCACTCTCAGTGGGGCAAAGAAGTTGATCTCATAGTTCTTCTTGAGCTCCTCGTCGGACAGATCCTCAACTGCGCCAACCTGACCGTAACCGGCATTGTTGACCAAGACGTCGATGGTGCCAAACTTGGCGGTCGCCGAGGTGATGGCTAGCTGGACACTGGCCTCACTCGCGAGGTCGACTTCCAACGCCAAGAAGTTCTGGTCGTTGGCGCCAGCCACGTCGGCAATGCTCTGCAAGGAGCGAGATGTGCAGGCAACTCTTGCGCCAGATGTTGCCAGGAGTACCTCTGCCAAGGTCCTTCCAATACCGCTTGAGCAACCTGTGATGAACCAAACTTTTCCAGACATTATTCTATTTATTGATTATTATATATATGTTTAAGTGTATGTAAAATGGATTGTATTTGATTAGTCTAATGCATCGAGTGAAGGACCAAAGAGAGAGAGAGAGAATGAATGGAGGTTGTTTGGCCTTGTAAAATAGAATATATTATATTAAATATCTGATGATGTAGGTGGTCCACCAAAGCCCCATTAATCAATCAAAATGTCGACCTACTTGATCACGATCTGTTCTCGACACCATCACTCCTGTTGTGGGTTACACCTTCTCAAATTCTGAAGGGTACATTATTTATCAATCAACTATAACGTGATGGAACTATTCCTATTATAATAGTCTGTATCCACTCATTGGATATGTTGAGAGATTGAGAATGAACTCTCTTCGTTGGTGTGCAGGTTGAGGTGGATAATCATGTCCAACATCTCCAATACAGTGGACAAGTATGTTGGGACCAAAGTGAACTGGATCTGGTGTATCATTGGAGTTTGTCCAGAATGGTACTACTCTTGAGTAAACTGTTGGATGGCCAGGGACAAAAGTCATATTCTCAAAGTAAACATGTTTGAATCCAACAACATCTAACTGATCATTGTAGAGTGCACTTTGTAGTTTGCGACTGGCTCGTTGATCACGTGTAGGAATGACCCCTTCTGGATGTGGAAGGGGAGGATCAAGAACTATTGTTGTTGAAGCAAGTTGATCTGGTACACCAGGATACATAAACTGATGTGGCTCTAGATGGAGCTCCATAATTGGAAGTCCTGAAGGTAGTCGACAAAACAAATGGATTGATCTTCCTATACCATCAATCAATATATTGAACTCTGAGCACCTCTCTCGATCCAATATATACACTTCTTGATATGGTAATCTAACTGATTGTTGAATCCATCTGAATATGATCTACTGGACCACAAAGCTTGGAACCACATATATATATGTCCTCATTACCTCTTCAATCGGTTGAGCGGCATGCTTCTCTCTTTGATAGTATGATACATCAGGTCCTCTTAAATGAATGATAGTTGAGAATGTATGAATAAAATTAATATAACAATAGATACATACTTAATTGATTGCTCCCAGTGACCTTGATCATTATTGTACTCCATTTCACACTTGGCACTAGAGTCATTGGGGTTGATCAATCCATTGAGTTGGGTCCATATACTCAGTTGATGGTAAACTTCACCACTATGTCGTGTTGCTAAGTCTCCCTTTACTTGGACACTAATCATTGTGATCAATGAACCTTCATTGCCAGCTCTAGTGATAGTGGCCTCGAATGATATATTATGATTATGATCGAGTAACTCTCTAAGTGTATGTCCTTGTTCATCATTAAGTAGATATGATATATTAACATTGTAATCAGTAGGTATTTGAATTCTATGATATTAATAATAAATTAATATTGTTTATTTGGTTGGATTGTTGGAATGAGTTAAAAGTATCATTTGAGATACTCCAAGGGAAGAATAGTAATATTTGTAGCTGCCATTATTGTAGTAATAAATATCAGTGAGTTTGAGATAATGTATAATCCTAAATTGATCTATCGAGGTATTACCAAACTTAAATTCTGATGGCATACAAATTAGGTAATCCAATGACCAAGTAATAAACTTATGACAATTGATAAAATTAATTTAATTAAACCTGGTTAGGTGGCTCCAGACATCAAGATCATTGATGATATGTTGAGCCTTGACTCGAACAGTTGTATGTGCATCCTCTCCAACATAGATATGAACGGGAAGCTCACCTTGGTGATCGACAACTTTGATGAACACATGGGCCAATCTGATTGGATCGCCTACATTGAACATACATAGATTCTCAACAAATGCTTTGTTGTACTGCTCCTTGTAAACACTAGACTCGAAGTCGGGCATCTGCATCTTGGTCGGATTGAAAAAGTCAGACTTGAATGCACCTGGATTGATCGAGAATGCTTTGACTCCAAATGGTTTCAACTCAATCGCCAGTGTCTCGGTTGCAGTGTTCAGTGCACTCTTGGTCGCACAATAACTTGAGAAACAGGGGTAGGGCACGAGGGCACCCATGGACGAAACATTGATAATGTGTCCACTCTTCTTGGCACGCATCAGAGGGGCAACATGTCTGATCAATCTGAGTGGGGCAAAGAAGTTGATCTCAAAGTTCTTCTGAAGGTCGTTGTCTGTGAGGTCTTCAACCGAGCCAACTTGTCCAAATCCAGCATTATTCACCAAGACATCTATTGTTCCAAACTTGTTGGTTGTGGCTAATATTGATTGATGTACACTTGCATCATTTGTGAGGTCTACTTCCAATGCCAAGAAGTTTTGATTATCTTCACCAAATACTTCAATCAGACTCTGCTTTGATCTTGATGTTCCAGCCACCTTTGCACCTGATTTCAATAACTCTTGGACCAATGACTTTCCAATTCCATTTGAACATCCAGTGACATACCAAACTTTTACAGACATGTTTGATTAATAATTAATAGTTAAAATAAATAAATAATAAAAAGGATAAAGTGAATATTCTATAAATAAATACATGGATCACATGATGTAAATTGAAATCGAGATTTATAATGGATTGACTCCAGAGGTCAAACATTATTACATATTCGGAAAAATACCAAATAAGGTAGTGGGTTACGTAAGACCATTGACGATTGTGATCTGTGGAGGAGCCTAGAATTGAGTGAAGCAGTGCCAGAACATTCTAGCATGGGGGTGTCTCTCAGACTCCACATTCATTCTCGATTGCTCCAAGACGAAGTTCATTCATTCATTCATTCTTTGATCGAATCTCAATCAATAAATCAATCAAATATCTGCTGATATTATATCTAATGCCTGGTTGAAGTTATAACTTATAAAAATATGTCATCCTGGTTGTGTAATATATTCTACACTATTCATTACCTATTAGAATAGAGAGATTAGAACATTGAAATAAAATCAATGATTAGTTAGAGAGAGTGATGATGGTGCGCTAGTTAAATTTGGTGCCAATCTTGGGTAGCGGGCCAACCGGTTGGCGCCCAACACTTGATCTCGCATTTCTAAGATGCTCGTTGGCACTTGGACAACAAAATTTTTCATTCGAATCTTCCAAAGGGCAAACGAATGAATGACCATAACTGATTGATACACAATGGATGCATTGACATGAATGTCAAGTCTGTAAAATCAATAGATCTCCGTACAGTTGTATTTCTTGACACTTCGTTTAGATCACCTTTTTCTGAATCGAGGTGTTCTCTACAAAAATTGGATGTATATCAAAGGCCGTTTGTTCTCTGAAGGGGTTCCAATGATTGATGTCAAACAACAATCCCTGTGCAAGTATGTGATCATGTTGTTGCCCATTGATACACTCTCACACACATTAGAAGGTAACTAAGGACCATGCCCTCAAAGTGTGTGGGTGAGGACCTAAATGATTGAATGAGTGAGTGAATGGAGAAGTATTAGAATACGAATGAGAGAACACCGGTACCATCCATTCATTCATTCATTCATTCGCTCATTCACACAATCATTCGAATATTGATCCTATTTTAGATTAATTCACCATCCATCCATACCTAATAATATATTATTAACATTCTTATTTCCAACCTGTACTTATACAATACATACCTGTACCTTTAACTAAATTTTTAATATATAATCATAATAGTTATGGGTGGAGAAGATGATAAAGCCCATATTAGATGGGTAAATGAAAAGTTGGTGTTGGTCAGTCGCAACATGGATGGCTTCGACCAGGAATTCCCTCCACAATTGTTGGGTGTGATCGATGAGATGGACTACAGTCTGATCATGTACAAGTTCAACAGCCAGATCAATAGTTTTAAGTCTGGTTTCATCCAATTCAACACGACCAACTTTATCACATTCGTACTGTGCGTGGTCCTGTTCTTTGTATCATTCTTCAAAGTCTCCAACCAATGGCTCAACCTCGAGATCACCGGTGCTATCGGTCTCTTCACATTCCTTGCCATGTTACACTGGATCTATTCCTCCAACCGTTCTGTATGTATTCCATCGATCAATTGATTGGACTGGACTGGATTGGATTGGACTTGACTGAATTGATTGATTGATTGATTCATTGGCTAACACATTGACATTCTAGATCGTTAAGAACTTGTCGGATGATACATTAAAGCTTTCAAACAGATACAAGGACACTGGAATGAGGTTTGACTTGATTGAAAAGTCAATCTTTGAGAGAAAGACATCTGGTTGGTTCTCCAGGAACATCTTGATGGCTGCCAACTACCACATTGAGCTAACATATCGTTATGCAATCGATGAGAGGGAGTTTGCCCAGCATTTCATTGACCTGCCTTCAACTGGAAGTATAAACTAATATATAATATATTATAAATGTACATATATCCATCCATCCAAATCAATCCACTATATTGTATACTTATTTCTAATTGATGGATTGTAGATGATGGCCTGTCCAATACAATCGACAAACCTGAGTTGATGAATGAATGAAAGAATGATTAATTGATTGAATGATTGAATGATTAGTTGATATGAATGTTATTGTAGATCCTTCTTGTTACGAGTAAACTGAAGTAGTAGGAAACGGATCCAGTCATCACACTTAGACAGAGGGAGTATATTAATGAGTAGCATGAGTAGATGAACAGGCCACTGGCACTCCTGTCACCCCACAAACAGAAATAGACCAACCTGAAGAAGAATAGGTGGACGCCACAGAAGCCCATCGTCTCGAATGATCGCCACCACCAATCATAGTTCTCGAATCTGAAGAGAAATTTGACGATGACGCAGGCTGTATACAGGCCAGCATTAAACAACAAACCTAACAGCATAATAATTCCAATGGTGTAGATGGTGTTGTCATTGATCAGCTGTGGTGACCTGATGGCTGTTATGCCAAAGTAGTTTTCTGTCAAAAATAGTAATGGTAGAGTTCCCATAAAAGGTGTTGTGTACCAACGGCTATACCCTGGCGGAGTTATCGGTGGTATCTCTCGAGGGAATTGATTGGTCTCTGTGTCAACAAACACTGGCATCTTTGATGCGTAATAGCTGCCACAGAATGAAAGGGGCACAGAGATACCCAGCCAGAGTCCAATCAAAGTGAACATTGAGCCAGCTGATATAGCAGCCGATGATCCTACACTCCTAAGACATAAGTCAGACATAATAAATATCAAGAATATCACTCCTTGAGGGCATATTGCAGTCTGGGTTGGATCATGAGTTAGGGTAAGGGCGAGGGTTGAGGGTAAGGGTTTGTTAACTTACCAATAATGCATTCTTCTTGAGATCTCCTCTATTGAACAACATGTAGTTCCTTGTTGAGAAGTATCCAGAGAACACACTGGGACATGTGTGAACTTATTGTTAGGCAAGTGATTGATTGATTGAATGAATGAATGAATGAGTCTGAATGACTAAATGTACGTACGATGTGACAGTGAGCATAGCTATGATAGCCATTGGTATATATCCATAGTTGACAGGTGAGAAGAATCCAATCACTCCAAGGAATAGTGATAGGAGCACGACACAGGCTACTTGAATGCCACTTCCGATTAAGATTGGAAGTATCATCTGATATTGAAGTGGCGCTCGGAAGACATCACCTCGGATCAACCTCCATTGTGTAGAATCGTCACTTGCATTGTAATTCCACCACTGTATCCATATGTTGAAGGTTACGACAATGGAAATACCCACCCGTGAAACAATGGTCCATACCAATTTGCTGAGGGTCTCGTCATGTGAGTCCTGCCATTGACCACTCCAAGTCATGCTCTCGTCCAGTAGATACCTGACACCGTAAGTCCATAATACGAATGGGTTGTCACCAACAAGTGTCCGGTTTGATATTGACAGATCGCCGCGATATCCCTTGGGGCATATGTTTGGAGTGCTTGGGTTGTACTCTTGGGAAGTATATGCATTTGATATCGGTAAGACTTCAAAGGCGACGATCTCATAAGTATCATTCTCCATTCTAGTATTAGTCGGTCGATATGTCACAGTGAATTCAAAGTGATTGTTAAGGAATACCTCACCATTCCGATACTTTGATTGAATGATTGATTGAGTAATCGCATTAGTAAATAAATGAATGGATGAATGAACATATGGATGCTACGTACAGAGATACCGCCAAGCTTAGCGCCAAGGGGGGAATATGTGTCTCTATATGGACGAACTGGAAGGGTGTCAAGGATCATGTTGGCATGGTATTCATTGCGTACGAGGTAAATGAATTGGTCGAGCTGAGACTGGTCCAGCCTGTTGTCCTTGCTGCAATGGGCATCAGGCATTGCATTCAATACGACACATGAGACATTCTTGAGGAATTGAAGTTGTACAGTGTTCTCTGCATCTCTTCCCCAAGCAACTCTTGTCCGATGTTACGTGGTGGTGGTTGTAGTTGGTTCAATGAGTTGTCATTCCTTGGTTGGCATACTGGCAATGAGTTATAGAGATATGGAGCTGGTGATGCCGTCGATGTTAACTTGTTTATATACAATGGAATCTGTTGGTCCTCTGTATACACATGGGGTGTCAAAGTTGGGATGAAGGAATGGCGCATCCACATCACAGCCAGACAGGATATCAACAAAGTCAAAGTCAACAACTGATTGATTCGTGATGCCATTGATTGTTCTACTTATTATTTGTATCTGTTGTATATGTTAATTATTATGAATAATGGATATCACTTCGTCATCAATCGTCGGCAAATCGAAATGAGGGAAAGCTTTTGAACAACATACTTTTCACAACAAATTAATCGTGGAGGTGTCCACGCATACAAAGTCGACTTTGAGTCGAATTCATTTTTGTGTGGCAACATAACAGCAACACAGATTCATCGCCTCGAACACCTCATTAATTGATCACTGGTTTGGAGCAAAACACTCAATCGTCGCGGACCCCACATTGGAAGCCATCATGGACACCACCACGCAAAACATCAATAAAATGTTATTGTAGATCCTTCTTGTTACGAGTAAACTGAAGTAGTAGGAAACGGATCCAGTCATCACACTTAGACAGAGGGAGAATATTGATGAGTAGCCAAGAGTAGATGAACAGGCCACTGGCACTGCTGGCACCTCCCCACGTGCAGACAAGTATCAATGTGAGGAAGAATAGGTAGACACCAGAGAAGCCGATCGATTCGAATGGTCGCCACCACTAATGGTAGTTCTCGTATCTGAAGAGACTGTGGCGATGAAGTCGGCCGTGGACACACCAACTAGAAACATCATACATAACATCCTAATGAATGATTCACGTGGTGTTGATGGTGTTGTCATTGATCAGCAGTGATGACCAGCTGGTTATTAGATCTACTCTGGAGTAGATTATCTTTGAATCCACATAGTATCTGGCGGAGTAGACAAGTTCATCAACCATTTCCTATCTCTTGACTGACTGTCTCCTTTGTTATAAAGTGTTTCCTTTAGGTACTATAGATATCCACAAGTAACCAAGTATCCTCTTGAGTAATGATCGATGATCATTAAGTAGTTGTAATGATCCTATTATTTATGTCTCGATGTTTTATTGAATGAATGAATGAATGAGTGAGTGTGTGGTCATCTTGCGAGACAAAGGACACTTTAGTTCATTCTCAGAAGTATTCGCTCACTCATCAATCAGATATAAGATTAAGAGATGAGTGATAGACGATCATATACAAGTGATGTGAGCAAGGTGAGGAGCAGTGATAATGGTGATGCACACCGCGACAGAGATGGATACAGGGAAAGAGATAGGGATAGAGATAGAGATAGAGATAGAAGAAGAAGTAGGAGTAGGAGTAGAGATAGAAAGAGAGATGGAAGAAGAGGTAGGAGTAGGAGTAGAAGTGATGAAAGGAAGAGAAAGAGAAAGGAAAGATCATTGAGTAGGAGTAGTAGTAGTGAGAGTAGTAGTGAGAGTAGTAGCTCATCGTCAGATGAAGAGGAAAGAAGGAGGCGTAGGAAGAAGAGAAGAGAGGAGAAAAGAAAGAAGAAGAAGGAGGAAAAGGCATTGAGAAAGGCTGAGAAACATAAGAGGAAGGAAGAGAAAGAGAGGAGGAAGATGGCTGAGCAAAAAGAGAAAGTAGCGCCAGTGGCCATCGATAAAGATAAGGATAAGGATACGGAAAACAAACCAAAGAGAGTGATGGGACCAATGTCAAACGATCAATACGGGAAACTTTATAACACTGTAGTGGAACGATATGATGAGGACACTGGAAGGTAAGTCAAGTCCACCAATGTCCTGCCTGTCTGGCTGGACAAAACAATGAACAATGAGTCAGTGGCCAAACTAATAATAATGATCAATCATACTTTAGAGTAAGAGTCTATCGTGGAACAGGAGAACTTATCGAACGAATTGTTACCAAGGAACAACACAAGGCCATCAACTACATTGCCACACATCATGTCAGTGGTGCATAATCAATCGATTGATTGATTGTGGTTAAGAAGGCTGAGGATGGATGTGTGATGTTCTTTCGTTCAATCGTTGCATTGCATTGCATTGCGTGGTCCTTGCAGGAAATAATGCGATGCGTGGCAAAGAGAGAGTTAGTGATTGATTGAGCGAGTCCTCTTGTTGGACCAACACACATTCAAAGGCCTCACTCAAGTAGACCACTCGACACCCCTCCATTCATAGGGGTGAGTTTGTGTGTGTGATCAATCGTCTAACAACACACAACACACAACACTGCCTGATTAGGCAGTATAAGTTCAATCAATCACTACTACCTCTTCCAAGGATTCCTTTATCATAATTAATCAAATGTTTAAAGATGGACCTGGTCCAGGCCCTGGATGATCAATACAACGCATCAACATAACATCAACAACTACTAGTATAACACGTTAAAAGTTAAGAGATATAATAATAACAACTAGTAATAATATAATTAGTAATAATAATAATAATGTATAGCTATATGGTTAATTATAGAGAGGAGGAGAGGTTTGATAGATATAATAGAAAGGATAGGATGATGTATAATAAGGTTGTAAATCAAATTGGTTACAGTCCACAAGAGATTAGAGGTTTCCAGGTTCAGAAACAAACGATGGAACAACAGAACAAACAATTGTTGGAGTTGATGGATGTGGCCAATGAGCGTTCCAGAGAATTACCGCCCAACAGGAAATCACTGTCCCCAACATCATCATTTAACCTAAGTGTCCAGCAGCAGGACAATAGTGGTGGATACTACCCTCCGACGCCAACCACATCACCTACATCCTCACTTGGAGGTGGAGGCGGAGGCCGAGTCCAAAGCCAGGGCCAGGTCCAAACCAACGACATTGACCTCCTATCCGAAATATTGTCTCCATCTATCCAACAACAATCATTCAATCAATATTCATTCAATCAACAACAACAAGCGCAAACATTCCAATATCAACAAACATTACAACAACAATGTGATATCATTCCACCAATTGGTAATGAACACAGACATCAATATCATATTACTTATAATAGTATTACAAGGAATGATTCGCATAAGGTACCTGGCCACTCTGCCCGCACACTCTTCCAGAATGCAGGATTGTCAACTGATTGCCTGGCCAACATCTGGACACAATGTGACCTTGATCGTGATGGACACCTTGATCGCGATGAATTCATCCTCATGATGCATCTAATCAACGCCGTCAAGAGTGGCTACTCCCTTCCAGCCGTACTCCCAGCACATCTAATTCCCGCTTCCAAGTTTAGCTGTTTCGGTTCCTCAATCTCCATGCCATGTTGATTGAATCGTTTGTTTGATTGATCGATTGAGTGATTGATCATCATTTGTAAATAAAGCCTCTGTTATATATCTCGATTGTGATCGATTGATTGAATGATTGATCGATTGATCAAAGTGATAACTGATGTTGTCGCGTTCGTATAATAGTATTGTTATTGATAATTTTAAATGGTTGGTCTTGGATCGATGCTGTCGATGACGCCACTGTATGTCCTCTCTTTGACGACATTGACTGGGGTGTCCAGTGGACCCTCGATGTTATCCTTTCTCCACTTCTTTGACAGATCAATTGATGGTCTTGGAACGATTGAGCTTGATGCTCTCGATACACGCTCTCTAACACCATCGATCAATTGGAAATGAACTTTACATGCGACGCTATATATTCGTGATCATGTCATGTTAGTCTTGCTCGTTCATTCATGATGATGATTCAATTCAATACATACTTATACTTTGGATCGATATGAGCAATGTTTGAATAGTGAATTGGGGCCTCCTTTGTGTAGGCACCTCCTTTATGATTCTTTGTTGACTTTGCCAGCTTCTTCATCAGCTTCAGACCTTCTACCAACACAGTGCTATGCTTTCTATTGATTGACTTGATCATTCCTTGCTTTCCCTTGTCTCTTCCTGAAAGTATCTCGACCTATATATATAATGTTTATCATCAGTTACATTATGTTCATTCATTCTCTCAACAACCGATTGATTGATTGATTGGTCATACCTTATCGCCTTTGATAAACTTCCACTTATTTATCAGATAGAGTCCCTCCTTGAAGAGACGACCGCCAAACAGTGTGCTCATTGTGCTGTTACTTCCTTTGTTAATGTATATATGTATGTAAAGGTAGTATTGTGATGATAGTTGTAGGAGAATGAATGAACCTGTATCAATCACAATCAAAAAAACGACCAAGTCCACCACTCTCACAATTCTGTCACCAATTTGATGTTTTTTTTTTGAAGTCCACTCCTTCACTCGTCTTTACTTAATTTATTCTTTGTTTCTTATACTCCTTGTACAGAATTAGATAAATCAAATCAATCATTAATGACAATCAATCAAACATATATTATAAGTTATAAATATTGATTGATCCAGATGGAAATATTATTTGTCCATCATGATGACTCGAGTCTCTTCACTCGCTCAATTCAAAAAAATAAAATTAATTAAAAAACGATGAAAGTTGGTGTTGATTCGGTCGTTTTGTTACCATTCATTCATTGTCTATCACTCACTAATATACTTACTTATTTATTTATATACATTATACATATATAAGGCTATATATATATAACATTATATATAGCTAACTACAACAACACTAGTGTGTAACAAACAATGCAACAGGATGATATCATCTGGAATGTTATAAACAATAACTTCTGCTCATTCAAGACAACGTATGTCTTCATTCACTCATTCAATCATACAATCAATCAATCGCTAACATGACATGATCATCCATCATCAATCAACTATGATATAACAGATTCAATGGAGCCAAGTTCTGCAGGAATGAGTTTAATGTGAGTGGAGCATGTAACAAGGTATCATGCCCATTGGCAAACTCAAAGTATGCGACGGTTAGAGAGGAGGAGGGTCTATGTTATCTTTATATCAAGACGGTGGAGCGTGCACATACTCCCGCCAAGATGTGGGAGAAGATCGAGCTCAATCAGAACTTCATGAAGGCCATCGAACAGATAGACGCACAGCTCGAGTACTGGCCCGGCCACATGGTACACAGATGCAAGCAAAGGTTCATCAAGATCACACAATACCTCATTAGAATGAGGAAGCTGAGGAAGCAGGTCAGGTATGTTACGTCAAGTGAGCGAGTCCGTGAGTGATTGAGTTAGTCGCGCGAGATAGAGACTAACATTATTGCCGTCCCGCGACAAATAGACGTGAGCTGGTGCCAATTAAGAAGAAGGCAGATAGAAGAGATGCCGCCCGTGAGCAGAAGGCTATGGTTGCTGCACAGCTTACCAACAACATCAAGAAGGAGTTGCTTGAGAGATTGAACAAGGTATGTCTTGGCAACATGGACCCGTGGCGGGTGGGGTGGTCGCGACGGAATGATCCCATCCTTGTCCCGCCAACTCACTCAATCAATCAATCATACTCACTCGCCTACTCAATCAATCAATCAGGATACATATGGCGAGCTATATTACTTCCCAGAGAAGGTGTTACAGAGCGTGTTGGAGGAGTCTGGTGTGCCAGATGAGATGCAGGAAGAGTACGATGATGAGGAGGAGGATGACATGGAGGAGCAATATGTCGAGGGCGACGACGAGGAGTTCGAATACGAGATGGAGGATCAGGAAGACCAGGATTTGGAAGGACACGATCAGGAACAATACGACAGCGAAGATTACGACGGTGATGATGATGACCAAGATGATGACGACGATGACATTGAACCAGAGCCAACTACAAAGAAGAGAGGACCATCTAAATTACAATCAAGTATGTTTACCATGGATCTATGAATGATTGATTGATTGAATGAATGATCGACTAACAATGACGCACACTTGCACGACATTATAGAATCAGGAACAAGACCACAACGCGCAAGAGTTGAGATTGAATATGAGAATGAGACTGATTCAACTCCACAAGTATCACAGACCAATAGACGATAGTGGTGTGATGATGTGGTATGAGGGGGGCTTGGTCCATGGACGGTCCACCAACCAATCAATCAATCAATCAATACATATTCATTATGTTAACGTTGCTGTTGTTGTGCTTTCATTCATTCCAGGACGTCCATACTTACCTCGAGCGAGTGATGTGATGTGTTTGTGTGTGTGTTCGATGGCATCCAATATGTCCAATGGTCTCCGATTAGTTTGATTGATGATGATGATGATGAGCCGAGTGTGGTGGATGGACCAGGCCTCGCCCACACCGACACACACGCACATAAGTATCCAATATATCTTATATCTCCCTGGTCACCCATTCGCATCCCACTAGTCATCCCATTAATACCCTCTCTTTACACTAATGATGGGAGATGGGTCACTATTGAATTGGAGATGGGTCGTTTTAAAAGTTTCTTGTGTTTTATCCATCCAACACTCCTGAAACAGGTAGAGACCCAACTTAGAATATGTCATTCCAGTCAATCAATCAATCTATCTATCTATCTATGGCACACACACACACATAAGCCCCCACAATATGAGCGTCACTCTTATCCTGATCAGACATTGTGGTCCAATTCCTCTCTTCCGTCTTTCTTGAGTTGTGGTGTGGTGAGGATATCATTGTTCGTCAGCCGAAGATTCCGAGGAATCTTTTTTTAGTGATCGTGCTATTAGCTACATTTAATCGTATTGATCACACAATCCAACAAGTGTTTGATTGTTTTTTTTTGATAGTGACAACGATAAAAACAAAAGATCCAGAAAGTATCTAAATTGGAATGTTGTAGTTGTTTTGACAATGTTTTTTGTTTAGGGGCACACGTGTTATTAACATCACCCCCCATTAAGGTTTGGCTTTGCCTCACACACACACTTCGCATTTTCAAATCAAGACTACACTTGGATCGTTGAAGGAGGATGGATGCCCAACCCAAGGCCCTATCAACCAATCAATCTCACTCACACTCTTACTCACAGATTCACTTCTCTCTCTTCCTGACAACACACTCTCTCACTTTTATTTGTCAAGCTCTCTCAAGCTTAGTCCAACATAACTTCACCTTTCCTAATACTTAACGTACAACAAACAATACATATACCTACACACACATATAAGTTGCGCTTGGCTTAGACACTAAGGTGTATGTCATTCATTCATTATTCAGGTCAATCAATCCTTCACAAGCAAGTTTAAATCTAACTCGCTCTCTTCTCTCTATTCTAATCTCTTTCTACTCTTTACTCTTTACTCTTTATCTCTTTCTTTCCTCTCACACAGACACACCTTCCAACCTCACTCATTCATTCATTCATTCATTCACCTCACCTCACCTCACTCATTCACTCAATCAATCACTCACATACATAGACTTATATATCTATACATCAACAACAACAACAACAACACTCACTTTATCTCTTACTCTCACAAGTAAGTGGTAGTTTCATGTTCCTTATAGACTACTGGGACAACATTGTTATCGAGTTCTCTTTGTTTCTTTCTCTCTCGTACAAAAGATAAGTCTTAATTAAAGAAATATAGTACGTTCGACCAATTACTATATCATTCAACCATCATACAAGTCAGCCAGCCAAGTCACTCATCCAGCCAGCCAGCCAACAACATCCATCCATCACTCAATCAATCACATTACATTTCTAAATGTTTATCGCGACACAGACACAACAACAGAATACCATGTCACCACCTCAACAACAATCTCAGCTGAATAATAGCGGTGACAATCAAATCATGATCCAAACGCAGGAGCATGATCAACTTCAATATCATCAACATCATCAGCATCAGCATCAACATCATCAGCTTCTCGATCAACAGCCATCGTCAAGCCCAGCCGATCACATGCCACCTGCTTTGGATGTCAACAACACGTCCTCCACATCACATATTATGATGGACCACATCAATGTGGTGCCGGCGCCATCCAACACTACCTCGGCCACATTCTCATCGTGTCCAGCCAATGGCGGTAGTGCCAGCGGTGTCACCGGTGACCAACAGACACCGGCAAAGAAGCGCACCAAGAAGGCCTGTTTGAATTGCAGGACTTCAAAGGTGGCCTGTGATCACAGCAGACCATGTCTGAGATGTGTCAGACATGGCATTGAGGCAGGATGCCTTGATGTGCCAAGAAAGCCAAAGATCTACCCCAAGCGTGCCAGGTCCGATGGCAAGTCCAGTGATGTGTCGTCGGGCTCGTCATCATCAGCGTCCACCCTGATGCAGAGCATTGATGGAGCAGCCCCCGTCTCGGCGACCTCGTCGTCAGCTGCTCCCAAGCGTGCCAACAAGAAGGCCAAGCACTCGTCCTCATCGCCCGACCTCCTCTCGGCCACCATTCCCACCACAACTTCCACTACATCCTCCTCGTCCACCAACACACCACCAATCATCCCATCATCATCATATCAGTTTGGTAGTATGCCAGACATCAGCAGTCTGGTCAACAGTGGCGCCATCAAGTTCCATCAGCAACTCATTCAACAACAACAACAACCAATCCAACAACAACATCATCAACAACAACAACAGCAGCTCGACCATCAGCAACTGCTGTATCAACAGTACATGGCCAATGCTGGTGTGGTCTCGCAGCCCTCCTCACCCAACCTCCTGACGCAACTCAACACCAGCCAGGTGTTTGGCTCACACGCACCCAACACCAACGATGGCACCAACACCGACGCATCCTACTCATACATCAACGCTAACAACAACAACAACACCACAAACCAACCATTCATCCAGTATGCCCAACATGACAACCAAACGGCCCTCCAGTATGGCACCGCCACCTCCACCGTGCCCCACTACATGCATAACAACCAGTCGGTTGCCAACCCAGCATTATCTCCAACAAGCATGCCATCGTCGCCAGTGTCCTCGCTCTCGACACCCTCGCCATCCCTGTCCGCCTACTCTGGTGAATCCCCGGGCAGTCCTACACATGGTGGTGCTGGCCACTTTGAACTTGGCCTTGCCAACAACAATGGCCACAACAATGGCAATGTCATTGACTACAACAACCTCCAACTCAACAACATTTCACAGTGTCATCAACCATCCTATGACATAGCCGGCAGCAACAACCACAACAATCACAATAACAACAATGAGGACAACAACGCCAACACCTCACCCAACTCACCAAACTCCTACGTCCATCAGTCGTCCGACATGATCGTCACTCACTCGGGACCAACATCCAACTACCACGCCGACCCCTATAGCTACCAGCAGCAGTGTGCCACCCCCGCCGACCAACAGCAACAACAACAGATCGTGTCCTACTCTCCACAGCAACAACAGTTGCAGCTCGCCAATGCCCCATCATCCTCGGGCCTCAACGCAACCGACATGCTACAATCGTTGTTTGGCAACAGCATCCTGTCCACGATCAACAATAGTGCGGCCAATGTATATACTGTCCTCCCGGACATCCTGGTGTCCGAGTTCAAGAAGATCCACCAGTCGCTCGAGAACATCACCACGTTCCTCCAGTTCCCCTCGGTGCAGCGGCCCGTCTGTCTCCCCACGCCCAAGACGGCCCTGATCCCCGGCAACCTCTGGCTCCCGTGTACAGAGTCGGTAATATTCATCCCATCTCCAATCCTCCCCGCCACTCACACACGGCCACTAACCTCAATCACATCCATTCATTCAATCTCATTAGGTAACCAAGAACCGACCATTCGCCAGCTGGGGATTCCCAAACCGCAACCTGATAGACACCAACAATGTATTCGCCAAGATCTTGGGCTTTGACTCGGAGGATGACCTGCGGGCAACGTCGACCTCGCCCATATGGGACGACTTTGTCCATCCGCAGATCATCCCCTTCACCAACCGCTACGCCATGGAGGCCGTGATCAAGGGCATCAAGAAGTTCCAGCGTCCGTGCGTTTTCAAGAAGAAGCACGGCGGCTACGTCTCTGCCACGGTCCTCGTTGACTTTGACCAAAGCTACACGTCCTTCCAAACGATCATCCTACAAAAGCATGTCGAGCTCATTGAAGACCTGTCCTCCGAGTACATCGCCCGTGAATACCGAAGCAAGAATGCATGTTTGGAACTGGATGACATTTAATTATGTTGTTTCCAACTATTGTTCCATCATCCACATGTTGCCAATACCAACTTGTCCAGTCCACAGCTGAGCGCACGCGTCCGTCATTCTTTCCTCTTCCTCTTCCTCTTCCATCCATCCATCCATCACGCCTCAATCACCACCATCACCATCCTCAACTCAATATCTCGTTGTCACTCATTCAATCATACTTACACATTCATGTTATATTACCTGTTTGCCTGCCTGTTTAATCTTTTTTTTTTCCAATCCACCATTCCATCCATTCCTCTATGAATTGGATACAAATAAATAATTCAATATCCATTATCCAACATCCAATATCCTATCGAATATTCATTTAATTATCTCTATAATTAATATCTATATTATCTGTTTGTTGTTCCAAGAATTTAAATAAATGATTGATTGAAAGAATGAAAGAATGAATGAATGATTCCTTCTCAACCTTTCCTTTCCATTCTCCTAGACCCGGGAGAGAGCTGGCTTGCTTTAATTTTTACCCAACAACAACAACAATTTATCGGAGTTTATTTAAAAAGGTGGATGCATGTGGAGCAAACATAGATTACTTAAGTAATCATAAACAGTTACTAGTACCGAATGGGAACACACTCAACATTGAGATCGGGCCATCATCAGCTCCGATGCGCTTCAGGGAGAAGGTGGCACGCACCCCTTTGCGCGTCTTTTGTTCAAAAAAGATCCATGTGTGACCAAAGCCAGTCCCGCCCCTTTGTCACGAACCACCCGTCCCGACTTTGGAGTAGGTGATACAGAGGGCAGACCCAGTTCCGCTTCCAACTATCATACCCATAATACCGAGTAGTCACGTTGTGTTGGCAACGCTATGATCAAGATCAGCTGAATACAAGGAATTGCAAATTAAGTACTTCAGGTCTTTGGTCTAATCCTTATTTTTTGGGATGTTTGCTGGATACTCTCGCTGTTTTGTTTGTTCTCCCGAACAACATACCGATATGATCACAACAGGCCACTTTAGGTCAAGCGTCACCCTACATCACTGAAACATGTTTATCTCTTTCTAGTCCTATCTATCTCTTTGCATCACACTAAACCAAACATTATAAAGCAAAGCAACATGTTCTGATGATGACCACGTTGTTGTTGTGGACTTTGTGGACCAACCAACAACAAACATCTCCATCTTTGACGAGGTGAAGCTCGTCTACATCAACATTATTAAGTGATAGCAATATTGATGATGTAGTTGTAGGCTCGGCATAAGGCCTCCCTCACTTTGCCAACCCAACTTGCTCCTCCTTGCGAGCGATCCACAACAACATCAATCAATCAATCAAACCTTTCAAACAAATAATCATAGAGTTCGACCATAGTGCCGACCTTGTCGTGGAGAACCTTCCATACTCTTCCATCAAACATTCCTCGTTTTTTTTTCATACGCTTGATCTGTTTTGCATCTTGCAGGAGTGTGTTGTTGATCAAAATCAAACAAGTCCAGACCAGTCTAATCTACGTGTCAATGGGGGTGCCAGAGGACAAGGGGAGGACCTCCTCATCGGGGCCAGTTAAATAACTACTTGTGCACCAAGCCGCACCAGTGATTGAAATGTGTACCCATCAATGCAATTTTAATCCCAAGTGGATGAGAATCTTGTTTGATGGTCCAATGATGCGAGAAGATCTGGTCTGTGAGGTAATGAGTGAGCGAATGAACGGAGTGGATCGTAGAGTGGAAGGAAGGAAGTTAGGTCAATAACATTGGTCAGGCATGCAACTATTCTTGTTATTGGTTGGGAACTTATAACATTCCTATTACTCTTCTTCCCCAAGTTGCACTACTTGGTCTTCCCCAACTTACACCTCCTCCTACACTCCACATTCACTCATTCACTCATACATCATACATTATAAATATAACTTTATTTATAAAAACATATAAATTTACAGATAACAAAGGAAGGATGAAGAATAATATAGTTGGAATGGTCTTTGTGACCATTCTACTTATGCTTTGTTTGTCAGTCAGTGTTGGTAGTGGGTCGTCACTGATGTTTGGCGAGGCCAAGTGTGATGGCGACTGTGATTTAGGCCAACTATGTATAAATAATACTTGCTCGTAAGTATCCACATCATCAATGATGTCAATGGTCCATCATTGGGCCCAATCAATCACACTCACACACTCACATCCACCAATTACTCAATCACACACACATATTTAGTGCTTGCGAGTCAGATGCACAATGCCAGTCGATGGTAAACTCACAGAATGTTTGTAAGAATGGTCTGTGTACACACAAGTCTTTGTTCCATAATAAGTTGACTGGTCTTGACTTTGCTGGATTCATACTTCTATTCATTGGTTGTGCACTCTCATCTGGAGGTGGCATTGGCGGTGGTGGTATCTACATCCCCATCCTCATCCTCATCGACAAGTTTGATCCAAAGGAAGCCATTCCATTGTCCAACGTAAGTAACATAACTTGGTGGTATGTTGTCCATGCAAGGTCACTCACCCACTCACCCACTCAATCACACACTGGAACTATCCCAATCACTCAATCACATGGTCACTCACTGGATCCACTTATCACTCAATCAAACATACATTAGTGTTTGGTCGCTGGATGTTCATTGGCCAACCTTATCCAAAACTTCCCAAGACGTCATCCAAATGCTAATAAGCATTTGATTGATTATGCTGTTGTGTTGTTGATTGAGCCGTTGACATTGGGAGGCACAACATTTGGAATCTATCTTCATACTATGCTGCCATCGTACGTCATTCTCATCTTGCTCGTGCTGACATTGTTCGCCACTGCTGCCACCACACTCAAGAAGGGTGTGGACCTCTACAAGAAGGAGCGTGTCACCAAGGAGTACAACTTACTGGTCAACGATACCAACGATGGTTCACTCGTCATGGAGCCACCCAACCGTATGTCCCACATCGCCCATGTGATCAATCATCCAATGGAGCATTGACTAACCCTAATCTCACTCATCATCATCACTACATAGCATTCATGGACGCTGATTGGTTCAAGATATTCTCAATCACTGGCATATTGATCTTGTCGACGTTGTTCTCCGTGTTCAAGGGAGGCAACCAGGAGTATAGTATTGTGGGCGTGAAGTTGTGCTCGCCTGGATACTGGGTGTTGGCCTTTGCCATTTGGCCCGTGGTCATGGTTGCCTGGGCCCTGACCTCCCGCTTCCTCTATTCACAATGGTTGAACAATCAGACGATGGGCATCTCGATCGAAGGTGACATTCGCTACACTCGCAAGACCATCATCTTACTTGGATTGCTCAGTATCATGGCTGGTGTACTCGCCTCACTCCTGGGCATTGGAGGAGGTATGATCAAGGGACCAGTCCTCCTCTCAATGGGTCTCAGTCCAGACATTGTCGCAGCCACCTCCAGTTTCATGATTGTAAGTTTATCCATCCGTCCACTGACCCTCGCGTGAATATCCACTCACTCACATCCAATCAATCAATCAATCAATCATATAGTTGTTTACATCAGCATCATCAGCATTCCAGTATATTCTACTGAATAAGTTGGCATTGGATTATGGATTGGTTTACTATATCATTGGATTCGTGGCCTGCTTCGTTGGTACACAGACATTGATATGGGTGGTGAAGAAGTACAAGAGAAGATCATACATCATCTTCTTGATTAGCAGTATCATCATCCTGAGCACCATCCTCTTGGTGTCCACCGAGGTCATCGAGATTGAGAGATATCCAAAGCAGAAGTTTGTCTCTGTCTGTGTTCCAGGTGATGCAGGTGGTGATTGATCAATCAATCAGTCATTTCAAGTCTATGCTCCATTGGATCGATCGAATATTTAACATTAATGTATACACTCCACTCCTCTCCACCTCCACTCCTTTTAACAATAAATAGTATAGTATGTCATTTCATTGACATCACTGGTACTTTATCAATCCATCCTTCTTCTCATAGACTAATAGTATCTCTGTACTTCCATTATCCAACATTGGTGACAGGTATCCAATCAATTGTTCAGGTGATGTGTATGCTGTTGGTGTCTTGTGTTCAGGATCGAATGAGTTGTAAGAGAATGATTGTGTCGTCTCCGGAGTAGTCTGTTCTTGGGATGATGATGATGGGGATTGAATGGTGGCAACACTTGAGTTATAGTTCATATTCTTGATGGCATACCAATGTCTTGAGCTCCAAAGACCATAATATCGGGTCCTCTGTATATTTACAATGAAGCCAAATAGTTGTACATAATCAACGTCATATAGAGCTGTTGAGTGTGTTAGGTTAGACAACATATCCATCCATTCAATCATTGATGAGTCTGCATGCATCACGTACACTTCCGCTTATCAAACCATTTGACCTCGTAACCAAGTCGCTCGAGTGCAATTATAAGTACATTGGCATCATAGTTGCCCAGTCCACTTGATGATGTCAAATGATTGTTAGTGTCACAGTCGACCCTGTAGCCATTATGCATCAATAACATACAACATATTCTTGTGTGGATTGATCCATCCTCCAGAGTGATCAATCTCATATGCTATTCTGTCTAGTTCACTTGTATGAACTGCCTTGCGTTGTAACTACTCCCATATATATTCATTCAATTCAATTCAATCAATCATTGTGTCAGGTATGCTGATGAGCGTCATCATCATCATCAAACTATGTCTTACTAGATTATTGATAGCATGTTGTCCACAAAACATCCTTCTCTGCTTCTCAAAGTATTCATGTTCTTGCTGTTGCGGTTGCTGTTTGTTTTCCATTATGTTTAGTACAGGGAGATAGAGATAATAGAAATAAAGTAAGAGATAGAGATAAAGATAATGTTTTATTATGTGTGTCGTCGAATGAATGAATGAATGAATGAACAAACTAGTGGTGACTCATTCATTCAAATCACCTCTTGGAAGAACTCAAGGTCAAAGTCGTGATCAGGATAACCAGGTACGAAACTGATTGATATTGATTGTTTGTTACCTGTATCATTTGTTCGTATTGCTCGGAGTTCTATACTATGATGGACAGTGTTGTAGAAGCATTGCCAATGATATTGATATTCTTTGTTTGAGTTTGGGTTGTTGTTTGCCAAGTCTTGTTCAACCCATTTAACAATTCATGACAACTCATTTGAGTATTCATTCATATCAATATGATACCATTCTTTGGAATAGATATTCAAAGGTATAAAACTATTTGGTCTGAATAGATTATGTGTATTACCTAAATAACTTTGATTGTATAAAGTAATACATTTATCCAAATTAGTTTATTCCAAGAAACAATTCCAAGATATGAGGATGTTCATCATCATCATACATTGGGTCAATATTTATTCTTGAAGATTGTCATATATTTGTTATACTTATATCTATATATAAATTATAATAGAATAATGGAGAATGGATATATATTTAAATAAGATCAGATTCCTTTAAGAATTACTAATCTGAATGAAGTTCACAAAGATGTTGAAGTTATTCATCAGATCAGATCGTGATTAACCAACTACGATCATACTTAAGGGCTTGACCTTTGAGGCAAAAGGTAGCATAAACACACAATTCGGTGTATTCCGATACGAATATCGATTTGGAACCAAATCGTTGAAAAAATGATGGGCACCTCCCCATCACTCGTTGTATTCCGTGGTGGTTGGGGCAAGTACGTTTAAAAATAAGCGTCGTTAAAGGCCTTCTGCATTGTACACTTGCATCATCAGTGGGGTAATATACACAAACATCCATTCACCCGTTTGGAATGAATGAATGAATGAACGACAGGGCAACTGGTTTATAAAAGGAACAGTTCGTTGTTGTGGGTTCCAGTAGCTTAAAGAGATAGAGATATATAAATAATGAACGAACATCATTTAGAAATAATTAATACAAATAATAATGGAGTTATCACTGGAGGTGCACCAGATGTCCATTTGAACAACACTGTAGTACATAACATAACATGGAGTGGTCTATCTGTAACAGTGAAGGATCGTCAGTTCAAGAAACCAAAGACAATCATTGATAATGTCAATGGTATTGTACGTGCTGGTAAGTTACACCAATTAAGTTAGAATATTGATTGATAGATAGATATATCTAACAATCAATCAAACTATTAATAGGTGAGATATGTGCATTAATGGGTCCATCTGGTTGTGGCAAGACTACTTTGCTCAATGTACTGGCTAGACGTGCTACCGAGGGTTCAGTTGGAAGTGTTCTTGTCAACGGATCAAACATATCCAACTCCGAGTTTAGAGATATAACATGTTTTGTTGAACAAGAGGATGCCCTCATTGGTTCACTCACTGTCAAAGAGACCATTGACTTCTCCGCCAGACTCTCCACGAACAGGTATGTTGGTCCCATAGCCAAATCCAATGAATGGACTTGTCATACTAACTCAATCAAACATTACGCATAGTTACTCGGTCAAAGAGAGGAAGGAGAGAGTTGAGAGTGTACTTCAATCATTTGGTTTGAAGGACCAAGCGGATACAATCATTGGAACACCGATAAGGAAGGGTATATCTGGTGGCCAGAAGCGTCGTGTTGGTGTGGCCAGTCAACTGATAACAAGCCCAAAGATATTGTTCTTGGATGAACCAACAAGTGGTCTGGACTCTGCCGCCAGTTGGGAGGTGATCAACTACTTACGCACAGTAGCACGTAACAACAATCTAATTGTTATACTATCGATCCATCAACCATCATCATCCACCTTCAACCTCTTTGACAAGTTGTTGTTGTTGTCTGGTGGCAGGACACATTACTTTGGACCCGTGCCCAATATCCCAACATACTTCCATGGTGCCGGTTTGATCATCCCCATACATGTCAATCCAGCCGAGTACCTGTTGGAGGTGGTCAACACAGACTTTGCTCGTGATAAGGACATATCAGATAGACGACTATCTGATCTCCAAACTCACTGGAGCGCATCCACTGAATCATCAGACATCGTCAATGCCATCACAGCCACACGAGAGCAAAGTGGCAACCAAGGACTCACCGGACACTCGACCGACCATCGCCCAAGTCTTGCCAGCACCACTCTGACTCTGCTTCATCGTAGTTTCCTAAAGAGCTATCGTGATGTCATTGCTTATGGACTGCGTATTGCTATGTACACTTGTCTGGCGGTGATGATGGGCACTGTGTGGGTGCGTCTCCAGCCCACTCAATCATCAATCCAACCATTCATCAACGCCATCTTCTTTGGCTCTGCATTCATGTCGTTCATGGCCGTCGCCTATGTGCCAGCATTCCTTGAGGACCGTCTCCAATACGTCAAAGAGCATAGCAATGGATTGTACGGCGCAACCGCATTCACAATCTCCAACTTTTTGATTGGAATACCCTACCTGTTCATCATCGCACTCGTATTCTCTGTGATCTCCTATTGGCTCACCAACTTCCAGCCCACCGCCCAAGCATTCTTCACGTGGATCATGTGGATTTTCCTCGACTTGCTCGCCGCCGAGTCGATGGTCGTGTTGTTCTCCTCGCTCTTCCCCAACTTTGTGATCGCACTGGCACTCGTAGCATTTGCCAATGGACTATGGATGTCTGTTGGTGGATTCATGGTCCCTCCCACAACATTGAACGCATTCTACTATTATGTGTTCCATTTCTGGGACTATCAAAAGTACGTGTTTGAAGGTATGATGGTCAATGAGTTTGCCGAACGAACTTATACATGTGGCAACGATTGCTTCTGCATGTACAATTCAACACTTGCCGCCGAGTGTAAGATTGATGGACAAGCTGTATTAGATCAATATGGCTACGATGACAGTACAATGGGTCGCAATGTTGGTATCCTCATCGTGATCATATTTGGATACCGTCTGGCATCTTGGGCCGTTCTAAGATTCAAGAGATCAGGATTGTATTCATGATCATTCTTCAATATCTTGGAATAAAGTAATACTATTATTTATATATTGTACATGTATGATTGATTGACTGATTGGTTCAGTGACTGAACGTATTGAGGCTGACCCTTCCAAATATGAACTTCTTTTTTTTAGACCCCAGATACCTTTCCAAGGCTTTTTCACTAACACATCACAAACCAGATTTTTGATCAGAGGTCCTCTTTTTGGACTCAAGGTCCATTCAATCTCTTTAGAAGTAATAACTCTTATTATATATATCACTACTATTATATATAACACACTCACATCAAGTTATTGATTGATTGATTGATCGAAGAATAATTGAGTGAATGGCTGAGAAACAACAGCAACAACAGTCTCCGCCAGCAGCGGCAGCAGCAGTGTCGCCATAGTATGTGTCAACACAACACAACACAGCATAGCCTTTTGAAACAAACTAACTAATATATGGATGTAGTGTGTTGGCAACGAGAAAATATGATAAGGAAGCCAAGCAGTTGACTGGACGCGAGGTCGAGAGACATCCACTCATTGCAGGTGCAGCAACATTGACGACGGCAGCAGCATCAACAACAGCAGGCGACTCAACAGATAAGAAGAATGAAGATGGCAGCAGTTCAGCAAAGGCCGAGACAACAGTGGTCAATCCATTGCAGCCACAACAGGTGACAGACTTTGTAGATCCACTTTCAAAGGTGGCTAATGAGACAAAGGTCAACGACCCTCTGGCCTCATCAATCGCCACGATGGGAGGTCTCAACACAATCAAGTCATCACATCAGCAGAAACAGATGTATCATGACGATACCTACATCCCATGGGCCACAATGAAGCCCGGCATCCTACAGCAATACACAGACGACGAGCACAATCCAATCCAAGTCGTAGGTATCTCGCGAGACACTGAGTTGGCGAGGGTGTGGCGTGCACATCACCTTACTGACGCCTCATTCCATTCATTAGTCATTCATGTCGACTGGCACATCGGGCAAGGTTAAGATATCACTCAATCGTTTGAATAAGATCTTGGAAGAGTTGGATCAGGACAGCGAGGAGAAGCAGTCCACTCAACTTACACAGACTGATGTGTTGATGGATCTCGAGACACTTCACTCTGAGTTACTCAAGGCATGGAGAGCTGAGGAGCGTGTTCGTTCGCTCAAGATTGCCATCCAGGTATGTGTCAAGTGACCGCGACTAGTCACGTGAGCACGCTCATTCATTCAATCATACTCACATACCCTCGCCACGAACAAACAGACTGCCAAGCTATTGTCCAACACATCATTAATCAAGTTCTACCCGAGCAAGTGGGTCATTGCGTCAGAGATACTGGACATCTTTGGAAACATGGTGTACGACAGGATAAAGAGCCGCTTGAAGCAGAGCTTGGACAAGGACCCGTCAAAGAGGAACGAGCAGCTGCACATTGAGCAGGCCAAGGAGACGTGCAGGAACTGGTTCTACAAGATCGCCTCGATCCGTGAGCTGTTGCCCCGTCTCTACATCGAGATTGCCATCTTGCGCTGCTACGAGTTCATCCAGGGCGACCACAACACAGTGCCACGCGAGGTTGTCGACCGCCTCAACCAGCAGATTCGCGGTGTGGGCAACCCGCTCGTGGCCAACTACCTGCGCGCCTACCTGGCCCGTCGCGCACACGACCTCGTCCCAGAGTACAAGGCCTTTATTATCGAGGGTCTCAAGGACTTTGTCTTCTCGCAGCGTTTGTTTGAGAAGTCCAAGTATCTGGAGCAGACGCTCAAGGCACACAAGATCACGCTGACCGACTACCTGGGCCTGTACTCGCCCAGTCTCGAGTGGCTGCTGCAGTGTCTCAGCCACAACGGCAAGCAAGAGGTGCTGGAGGAGGTGCTGGCCGTGTTCCGCGAGTCCAAGAACTCGCTGCTGCTCAACCACATCATCTCGTCATTCCCTCCCGACTACATCTGCAACAACAGCACGATGTTTAGCAACTTTATCAAAGAGGCCGACTCATTCTCCTATCCCAAGTGTCAACTGTACAGCACGTTTGGTGTCAACCTTGTGCTGGGACACCCGCCCAAGACCCAAGTGTTGACCATCCTCAACGACGTCTGGAAAGTCGTCTCTGTCTTTGAATCACTCAAAGACTACATCATGGTGGCCGAGGTCTTTATCGAATATGTATTAACTCATTGTACTGTAAGTATCATTGTTATTGTCATGAAGGCATCCTCAACGCCCTCGACCTAACCCTCGCCCTCGCCCTCGACCCTAACCCTCGATCCTCACTCAACCAATCAATCGATCGATCACAGATAAAAGAAACAGATACATTCTTGAAGGATATACTTAGACACATCATACCAGACAAGGCATACGAGAACCTACAGTCACACTTGCAATCGATCGTGTTGAAGATCCTGACACATGTGCAGGACTTTAACGTGCTGGTGGGCATCACCAACTTCCTGCCACTGCTCGATCTGTTCAACGGCGAGTCGCAGAAGCAGATCAGTCGCTCGACCCTCGAGGCACTGTCCAGCTCCAACAGCACTATCTCAGACCCGGTGCTCATCAACACGTTCCTGGTCTATGGCAAGGCGCTGCACGACTCGCTCAACAGTCTGAGCTTCCAGGACGAGGTGCGCCAGGTCACCAACGTGGTCAACGTCTGCATCGACAAGTTTGACTTTGGCAAGGACGTCGAGAAGCAGCTGAACTTCTACGTCGACTGCCGCCAGACCTTTGTCAACTTTGACGGCGTCAAGAATCGTCTGGTGTACGCGGTCGTCGCGCTGTGCCAAAAGACGCTGGCCCTCGTCAAGGGCAAGCACACCGCCAAGACGTCGGCATTCATCCGCGCGTGCATTGCCTACTGCTTCATCACGATCCCCTCGATCAACGACGTCTTTATGAAGATGAACCTGTACATGGTGTCGGCGGCCATCGCCCTGCAGAACCAGGCGCTGTCGCAGGCCGACGCGCTGCTCAAGGCGGCCATCACCTTTGTCCAGGAGATCCCGCCCATCATGGAGTACAAGCAGGTGCGCTCCACCGAGGAGTGGACTGTGTCGTACCTCAGCAACTTTGTCTCGCTGCTGGTCGTCGCGCCAGGCCATCCCGAGTCGGGCCCCTTCTACCTGGTCAAGGCGCTGCACAAGGTCGTCAAGGACTACCCATGGGAGAAGGGTACCACTGGCAAGGCCAAGATCATGGTTCAATTGATGGGTCTCTGTTCCACATGGGCACAAGATTCACTGCCCTACCACTTTGACAAGGTCGAGTCCAACGATCATCTCTTTGCTGCCGATCCAGACTTTATCAGTGAACTCAACGAACTATATGGTCTCCTAATCAAGGATGTCTTGAGTGAGCTTAACTTGTTAAAGGATGAGATTGATCCATCTGTAAGTCATTCAATCATTCTGGAATCATTCCATCTCACACTCACTAACCCAATCAATCAATACTACCAACAGACTCAAAGGAAGATGGTATACGTATGCTTGGAACTTGTCAATGTTACATTGAGTGTTGCCGAGTTGAACTCAAAGACAGCATCACTTATATTCAACTTGTACAATATGGCCAAGAAGTCCATACCGGCCACGGCACACACTGAGCTCACCTATCTTAAGAACACACTGGCTCACATTGGTACTCTAAAGTCCAAGATGGCCAATGACCTCTACAACAAATTGAACACGATCACTGCCTAAAACTAAGGATCCACAACTTGTTCCACATATCCAATCCAATCCCCTCACTTCCATCACTCCATCTCTTCCATCCATCAATCATATTCATCATATTAAATAAAACCAATCTATATATATATCATAATTCAATTCCATCATCTGGTGATAACAAGTCCTAATCATATAATTGATTGATAAAATATTCAAATCAATCTTATCTTTTATCTTTATATGTTGTAATAATAAATTATTATTATTATTGTAATTAGAGGTAATAATACTGAATCTTTAAACTTGATTACAAAGTATGTTAACTACTTATTATGATTATTATTATTACTAGCTTGTACTTGTTCATCTTGGATTCATGTTGACAACCCCACACCACATCACACTGTTGATCAAACAAGTTTCCCTTTTTAGGCATTTGATCAATCAAACACACACAACACATACAATCACACACAGATACAGATACTAACTTGACACAACTTGACACATGACATGTTAACACACGCACACACTGACACATATGTACCCGAACATCAATAATATTAAGATAATGTGTAGATGACGTCAATAATGGACAAACAAACAAACAAATGTAGTTATTAGTTGAATCATGTTAAATGGATGGAGTGAGGGAGGGGATGTATGAACGCTGATGTCACCTGCAACAGCTTCCAAGCAATCAATTGGCTACATAAGCAACAGTATAAGATATACAACAATCAATCAATCACTAACACACTCACACCATCCATTCACATTCAATCACACTTATTGTCATCGAGTGCCATGATTATGGCTTAAGTGAATCGATTTGATTGATGTACATACTATCTATCTTGTTAGTTCGCACACACACACACATTGCTGATGGTGATGATGGGATGGCCGGCCGGAGTATCTGGAACCGTGCGTGTCGATGATGGTCGCGACAGTTCACTAGATAGAAGGTAGGTGGATGGATGCATCCATCAACTCTGGCTTGGCTTGACTGTCAATCAATCAATCAATCAATCAATATCGCAATTCAACTTTAAGTGAACCAATAGTGTGTCAGACTGAATGAATGAATGACGCTCAAGATAGATGTCCTCCACCTCCTCCTACTTTGGTGATGATGCTAGTTACATCTGATCACAGAGGCACTCGCGCACCATTCTCACTATCCGTGTTTCGGACTTTGTCCATCCATCCATTCTCCATCCCTCCCCCACACCACACGAGGGACAACAACAACAATGCATTGTACGATGCTCTTGGCAAGGATACTGAATGACAGACTGTCTGACTGCAGGCCGCTCAACGAACAAACGTTGTTTGGATAGTTTAATTTATATTATATCCAATGGATTATAGTAATGTAATAGCATCTACACAAATAATCAGTATCGATCAATCAATCAAACATAACAACTTCATATTATAATATAATATATATATATTATAAACCATCAAAAGGAGGAGGTACATAAATAAGGAAGTGTATGTATAATTGATTGTGGACCATCCAATCAACTTAATATAGGTTGTCCTCGTCTAGCGAAGGTCACTTACCTCCACACTTCCGCGTCCAGCCGACACACACACACATACGCATACCACCCACCCACCTCAATCCAACCAACATCCAACCAACATCCAACCAACCATCCAGGCGAGTCCAGTCCAGTCCAGTCCAGTCAGTCCCGCATCTCGCCACAAACTCAATCATTTATATATCTCTAATCCAACACAACAACCAACAACAAATAGACATTCATCAACCATCCAACATTCTATCATCATCACAATCTCCAATCAACCAACAAACAATTATACTTGACCACAACAACAAAGTATAAAATATAAGATGAATGTGTTACCTTTATTGTTGGTCCTCTTGCTGGCCTTAGGCCACATGCCAACACCCTCCATGCAGTATGGAGAGTCTGATCAGTTTGGTAACCCAACCTGGAACGAAAGAGAAGGTCATGTAATTTTGAACGCAATCAGAATGGGTAAGTCAAATTCATTCATTCATTCATTCAATCAATCAATCAGAGTGAGTCAGGAATCATTCCGGCTCACCACACCACTCACACACACTCAAACTCAAACTCAAGCAAGCAAACTAACTCGAGTTTTCCTCTCTCACACTTAGCCCCTCGCGAGTTTGTAAATAAGTATTTCCCAAAGTTTATGTCTGACGGCTTTTTGGACGCCGTACGCTTCCCTGCTGTGGACCCTGTATATATGAGTAATGTCAACAGCTTGGCGGCACGCGCCCACTCAATTGATATGGCCGACAACAACTGTCTCCGCATGGACGACTGCAACGGCACGTCATGGGCAGAGCGCATCCAGAAGCTTATAACACCCGACTGCATGGGCGGCATCTTTAGCGAGGTGATCGCCGGTGGTATCTCGTCTGGTATACAAGTGAATATGCTGTTGCTCTGTGAGCGCTTCAGCCCGCCTTGTGAGCCGGATGCCTCGCCCTTTGGGCAGATTCAGGATCGCGCCAACATGCTGAGCGCCAACTTCCACGCTGTAGGCGTCGGCTACTCCTACAGCCCCAAGTCGGACTTCCGTCACTACTGGACACAGGACTTTACCGGCGCCGTCTGTGCGCCACAGATGTCGCCCATCTACGGAGGCTCGCATACCTTTGCCCAACCCAACCTGATCTACATGGCCAACTGGAAGGGCGACGGACAGGTTGCCGCGTCCATCCACATCCAGCAACCAGGCGTCACCAACGTTATGATGTCGTACTCCTTGATGCGCGACCTTGGTGAGGACGCCCTTGGCACCTACTCATTCAATGCCGGCACCTCATTTACCGAGTGCCAGCTGTACGTCTTCACGTTTGTCGATAGCCATGGTAATACCTACCGTTATCCGGACACTGGTTCGCTGGCCACCGTTGTCTCTCAGGACAGCAAATGTCAATCATGGAGCTCCACCGATATCCTTGCCCCACATGCTGCCACGCCCGCATCCACTGTCGCTAGCATGGAGCCATCACCATCCTTTAACACTCCTTCCGAGCTCGCTCAAGATGACGATGACAAGAAGAAGGATAAGGAGGACAAGGCAAAGAAGGATAAGGAAAACAAGGACAAGAAGGACAAGGAGGACAAAGCAAAGAAGGACAAGGAGGACAAGGGCAAGAAGGACAAGGAGGATAAGAAGGACAAGGATCCAAATTCATCATCAACAACTTGTATGTTATCATTGAACACCTCTCATTCATTCATTCACTAACATAATATTCAAACATTGACGTCACTATCAGCTACCTCGACAACATCTTCTGGATCGTCTATCCCTGCCACCACTAGTGGATCGTCAGCACCCGCAGCAACAACTACCACTACTGGATCAGCTGCATCCACAACCACATCTGGCTCCGCTGCACCAGCTGCCACAACTACCACTACTGGATCAGCGGTACCCGCTGCCACCACAACCACATCTGGCTCCGCTGCACCAGCTGCCACCACAACAACTACTGGCTCCGCTGCACCCGCTGCCACAACAACAACCACAGGTTCATCTGCACCAGCTGCCACAACGACTACAACTGGATCATCAGCACCCGCAGCAACAACTACCACTACTGGATCAGCTGCCACCACGACCACATCTGGTTCCGCGGCACCAGCTGCCACAACGACAACAACTGGTTCATCAGCACCTGCAGCCACAACTACCACTAGTGGATCAGCCGCTCCAGCTGCCACTACAACCACATCTGGCTCCGCTGCACCAGCTGCCACGACGACAACTAGTGGATCATCAGCACCTGCGGCCACAACTACCTCAACTGGATCATCAGCACCCGCTGCAACTACTACCACTACTGGATCAGCTGCCACAACGACCACGTCTGGCTCCGCTGCACCAGCTGCCCCAACGACAACTGGATCATCAGCACCTGCAGCCACAACTACCACAACTGGATCAGCGGCACCCGCAGCAACAACTACCACATCTGGCTCCGCTGCACCCGCTGCCACAACAACAACCACAGGTTCATCTGCACCAGCTGCCACAACGACTACAACTGGATCAACAGCACCTGCGGCCACAACTACCACTACTGGATCAGCGGCACCAGCTGCCACCACAACCACATCTGGCTCCGTCGCACCAGCTGCCACGACGACAACTAGTGGATCATCAGCACCCGCTGCAACTACCACCACCACAGGTTCATCAGCACCAGCTGCCACAACTACCACTACTGGATCAGCGGCACCAGCTGCCACCACAACCACATCCGGCTCCGTCGCACCAGCTTCCACCACGACCACATCTGGCTCCGCTGCACCCGCTGCCACAACAACAACCACAGGTTCATCTGCACCCGCTGCAACAACTACCACCACAGGTTCAATAGCTCCAGCTGCCACAACTACCACTAGTGGATCAGCAGCACCAGCTGCCACAACTACCTCTACTGGATCAGCTACACCGGCTATCACCACGACAACTAGTGGATCAGCAGTTCCAGCTGTAACCACGACATCTGGCTCCGCTGCACCAGCTGCCACCACGACAACTAGTGGCTCATCTGTCCCCGCGGCTACAACTACTACCACTGGCTCCTCTGCACCCGCTGCCCCACCCGCCACAATGACTACTGGATCAGCTTCACCAGCTGCCACAACTTCAACCTCTGGTTCATCAGCTCCTGTTGCTACTACCACCAGTGGATCGGCCGCACCAGCAGCAACCACAACAACCTCTGGTTCTATTGCACCAGCAGCCACCACCACTACTACCAGCGGATCATCAGCACCAGCTGCCACAACCACCACAACTAGATCAGCTGCCCCCGCTGCCACCACTACAACATCTGGATCTTCCGCCCCARGTTGCCACTACGACCACAAGTGGATCATCAGCACCCGCGGCAACCACTACCACCACAGGTTCACCAGCCCCAGCTGCAACAACTACCACAACTGGATCAGCTGCACCAGCTGCCACCACGACAACATCTGGTTCTTCCGCCCCAGTTGCCACAACCTCTACAACTAGTGGATCATCAGCACCAGCTGCAACTACGACCACAACGGGCTCTTCAGCACCAGCTGCTACCACCACAACATCTGGTTCTTCGGCCCCAGTTGCCACCACAACAACGACTTCTAGATCATCAGCACCTGCTGCCACCACAACGACTTCTGGATCAGCTGCACCTGCCGCCACAACAACCACAACGGGATCATCAGCACCTGCTGCCACCACTACGACTACAGGATCAGCTGCACCAGTTGCCACAACCACCACGACCGGATCATCAGCACCTGCTGCCACGACTACTACCACTGGATCATCAGCTCCTGCCGCCACCACTACCACGACAGGATCATCAGCTCCGGTTGCCACCACAACGACTACAGGATCAGCTGCACCCGCTGCCACTACCACGACCGGATCATCAGCACCCGCTGCCACGACTACAACAACTGGATCAGCAGCTCCTGCCACAACTACCACTAGTGGATCATCAGCACCTGCTGCCACCACAACGACTACAGGATCAGCTGTACCAGTTGCCACAACCACGACCGGATCATCAGCACCAGCGGCCACAACAACTACAACTGGATCGGCAGCTCCTGCCGCCACCACTACCACGACAGGATCATCAGCTCCAGCTGCAACCACCACAACGACAGGATCACCAGCCCCCGCTGCCACCTCGGCAACATCTGGTTCATCTTCTCCAGCTGCCACAACTACCACAACGGGCGCATCTGCTCCATCAGCAACCACCACTACTAGTGGATCATCGATCCCCGCAACCACCACAACTACATCTGGTTCATCGGCACCTGCAGCCACCACGACAACGTCGGGATCTTCCGCCCCAGCAATTACCACAACTACCACCACAGGTTCATCAGCACCCGCTGCCACTACAACAACAACCGGATCAGCTGCACCAGTTGCCACCACTACCACAACAGGATCGTCTGTACCAGCTGCCAGCACAACGTCGGCTCCATCAGCAACAATATCAGGTGGATCAGCTGCTCCTGCCGCCACCACGACAACGACCGGATCAGCTGCTCCAGTAGCTACTACTACCACTACTGGTTCATCTACACCAGTTGCCACTACGACAACTACCGGATCATCAGCTCCAGTAGCCACCACAACCACTAGTGGATCAGCTGCACCAGCTGTTACAACTACTTCAACAGGATCTTCAGCACCCGCTACCACCACGACAACCAGTGGATCAGCTGCACCCATAGCTACAACGACCACTACAGGATCAACAGCACCAGTTGCCACCACTACCACATCAGGCTCATCTGCTCCAGCTGCAACTACGACCACTAGTGGATCATCAGCTCCTGCTGCCACCACAACGACAACCGGATCAGCTGCTCCAGTAGCTACTACTACCACTACTGGTTCATCTGCACCTGCTGCCACCACGACAACCACTGGATCAGCTGCACCCGCTGCCACGACTACTACCACAGGATCATCAATGCCAGCCGCCAGTACAACGTCGGCTCCATCAGCAACAATATCCGGTGGATCAGCTTCACCCGCTGCCACCACCACAACAACTGGATCAACAGCTCCTGCCGCCACCACTACCACAACAGGTTCATCAGCCCCCGCTGCCACTACCACGACATCTGGCTCCGCTGCCCCTGCCTCAACCACTTCCACAACTGGCTCATCTGCACCTGTTGCTGCCACAACCACAACTACAAGTGGTTCTGTAGCTCCAGCCGCCACAACCAGTGGATCAACAGCACCAGCCGCCAGCACAACATCAGCTCCGTCAGCAACAATATCCGGTGGATCAGCTGCTCCAGCTATCACCACAACCACTAGTGGATCATCAGCACCCGCTGCCACCACGACAACTACCGGATCAGCTGTTCCCGTAGCCACTACTACCACCACTGGATCATCTGCACCTGCTGCCACTACCACCACTACCGGATCAGCGGCACCAGCTGCCACCACGACAACTACTGGTTCATCAGCACCTGCTGCCACTACGACAATCTCTGGATCGTCAGCGCCAGTTGCTACCACAACAACCACTGGCTCAGCCGCACCTGCCACCACGACAACTACTGGCTCAGCTGCTCCCGTAGCCACCACCACAACTGGCTCAGCCGCACCAGCTGCCACGACAACTTCGGGTTCATCAGCACCAGTTGCCATAACCACCACCGGTTCATCGGCTCCAGTTGCCACCACGACAACCAGTGGATCAGCTGCACCCATAGCTACCACGACCACTACAGGTTCATCAGCACCAGTTGCCACAACCACCACGACCGGTTCATCGGCTCCAGTTGCAACCACTACCACATCAGGATCATCTGTGCCAGCCGCCACCACGACCACTACCGGATCTGCGGCACCAGTTGCCACAACCACCACGACCGGATCGTCAGCACCTGCTGCCACCACGACAACTACGGGATCAGCTGCACCTGCTGCCACAACTACCACTACTGGATCATCTGCTCCTGCTGCCACCACGACAACCACCGGATCAAGTGCCCCCGCTGCCACTACGACAACATCTGGCTCCGCTGCACCTGTTGCCACCACGACAACGACTGGATCAGCCTCACCAGCAGCGACCTCCGCCGCATCTACTACAACAACTAGTGGATCCGTAGCCCCAGCCACCTCTACAGGTTCTTCTGCCCCTGTTGCTACAACTACAACCACTGGCTCATCTGCCCCGGCTGCCACCACCACCACATCAGGATCATCAATGCCAGCCGCCAGCACAACATCAGCTCCATCTGCAACAATATCCGGTGGATCAGCTGTTCCTGCCGCCACAACCACCACGACGGGATCAGAAGCTTCTCCCGCCACAACTACCACAACTGGTTCGTCAGCTCCAGCTGCCACCACAACCACCACTGGATCAGCTGCTCCCGCCGCCACGACAACAACATCAGGTTCATCGGCCCCCGTCGCCACCACTACCACAACTGGCTCGGCTGCTGCACCAGCCTCCACAACGACCACGACAGGATCAGCTGCCCCAGCAGTCACCACCACTACTAGTGGATCGTCCACTCCAGCAGCCCCATCCACAACAACAACAACTAGTGGATCAGCTGCCCCCGCTGCTACCACTACCACTGCCTCCTCAGCTCCCGTCATAACGACAACTGGATCAGCTGCCCCCGCTGCCACCACGACTACAACAGGCTCCGCTGCAGCACCAGCCCCCACCACTACCACGACTGGATCAGCTGCTCCAGCAGTCCCATCCACAACAACAACAAGTGGATCTGTTGCCCCCGCTGCTACCACTACCACAGGCTCATCAGCACCTGCTGCCCCAGCAACCACGACAACAACTGGATCCTCGGCCCCAGCTGCCACAACCACAACCTCAGGTTCAAGTGCACCAACCCCTGCCTCCTCCACAAGTGGATCCGCAGCAGCTCCGTCCACAACGACATCGGCAGCATCCACCACTCCCTCTTTCACAATTACCACACCAGTAACAACCACGATCGCTGGCTCGGCAGTTCCGACTCCAGTGACCACCACCTCTGGCTCGTCAGCACCCGCTACCTCTACAACATCAGGTGCTTCGGCCCCAGCCACAGGTTCCACTGTCCCTTCTGCCTCCACAACTGGATCATCAGCTCCAGTAGCCACCCCGCCTACACCAACAACAACCTCATCGAGCCCAACAGCACCAGCAGCCACACCAGCATCATCAACTCCCTCAGCACCAGTAGCAACTCCATCATCTGCTAGCCCAGCTCCAGCTGCAGCACCAGCATCTGCTAGCCCAGCGCCAGCTGCCACACCAGCATCTGCAAGTCCAGCGCCAGCTGCCACTCCAGCCTCAGCTAGCCCAGCTCCAGCTGCAACACCAGCCTCAGCTAGCCCAGCGCCAGCTGCCACTCCAGCCTCAGCTAGCCCAGCGCCAGCTGCCACTCCAGCATCTGCCAGTCCAGCGCCAGCTGCCACTCCAGCCTCAGCTAGCCCAGCTCCAGCTGCCACTCCAGCCTCAGCTAGCCCGGCGCCAGCTGCCACACCAGCATCTKCYAGTCCAGCACCAGTTGCAACACCAGCATCTGCTAGCCCAGCTCCAGCTGCCACTCCAGCCTCAGCTAGCCCAGCTCCAGCTGCCCC